AACACAGAGCACAAGCACACCATTGCCTTACAGCATATACAGACCCTGAAAAAATTTATTGTTTCTATTAATACTATTAAAAATCTGATAAATGCATTTGTATATAAATAAAGCTTTTGGATGTTGAATATTTCACCATTTGTGCAAGGAAATTAAGGAACCATCATTAGAAAAATAGGTGTAAACATATATAATAAACATAAGCACGACTGATAATGGCACCTACAGCGTATGCAGAATGTTTGAAGAAAATCTTCAATGGCACTGGATGCCCAGGCAACGTGTCAGGTTACAGAGTTCTGAATACTGAGTTTTACACATTATATATAGCAACAAAATATTAAGAGGCCACCAGAAATTCTTAAATCTCCCTCACGCCCACATTAAGATTATTAAAAGGCATAATTTGTGTTCCATTTCATGAGAACAGTGTTGCTATAGATAGAATATACTGCATATAGACTTCTCTATTTACAAAAAAACAACAAAAAAACAATTGACGATGATGATGCAATGGCACCATATGGTGTACATGCAGTGTCTACTTGTAAAGCTGCGTCAGTGTGTATGTGTTTGTCTGCACATGTTAAAAAATTTGTGTGTAATGCATAGATGTAGATTACCTAAGCTGACCCAGCACGACACATTACTTAAACAGAAAAAAATGAATTACATGAAAATGCATTTGCAGGGTTTACAGAATCTCATTGGGTGACACCTGACACCCTTGGACAAGGTCATTCCTATTAGATGACCCTTTTAGTTTCAGCTTCCCTCTGCTATATGCTCTAACATGCATTGTGCAGTAATTTCAGGTACAGACATTATTGCGACAGAATAATTCATAATACTTGTTCAAATACAGGATTGTTTATTGATGAATACGACTAAAATGTAATTTAATTACTATTGTTTCAGCTCTTAACTGTTATGACACACCAGAAAGAGCCTCCACAAGATAACATTTAAGTCTTTGACACTGAATTGTTGCCAGCTCAGTTTTAACGGTTACCTTTGTTCTGGTACCAACTTTTTACACTAACTTTTTATTCTAACTAGCCTTACTCACTTCTAGCTAGCTGACTCACTGTGACTGCACACATTACCTTGTTAAAACTGCAGACATTGTGCTGCCAAAGATACTCAATGATACCAATTATTTTCAAAAATGGTTATAAGCGTGTGTATGATGTCAATCAGCCCCTAAAAGTCTAAGCAAAGTGTGTGTGGGGTTTGCCATTACTGGAAATAACTATTCACTGTTAAGTAGCTCACACTTTCCTATCAACATATAACCCACAGCAGTCATTTAATTAGCAACCAAAGAGTTCCTGTGTCCTGTGACTCCTAAGTTCCGACACTTGCCCAGTGGAACCAACCTATGGACTGAAGTCTGGAGCTCTGAAAGATGACACATTTTTTACATAAATTTGGTAGAAAGAATTTTGTCACTTGTGATTTGTTTGTTTGATAGTAATTGACATTATTTGTAAAATATAGTTAATGCTAAAATGTATATCTCTAAATGTATTTATTGTTTAGAAAATTAGTTTAATTTATAGATTGGTGACGAATTAAAGGGAAACTGTAGAACAGTGAGGGGATCTGGTAAGACTTGTATGTTACGGGAGGCTTTTTCTGGCTTGTTTGAGACCTCCCTTAGAGGGAGATCACTGCAAATCACTCTGAAGTTGTGAGTGATCACCGTTGTCCTGGGATAAAATATTTCTATCCTGTTGGGTGTGATCTCTTCCAGGATGACAATGCCCCTATCCATAGGGTCCGTGAGGGGTCGTTGAATTTATGACTATAAATGATGTGAATCATATGCTATGACCTTCACACTTCACATATTTCAAATTGAACACTTACGGACCGACATATTAGATATCCCTCTTTTCAGCATATCATCAAAGCGCCAATTATTTTTCAGATAAATATTGTTGTAACAAAAGGGAAAAAGCTAGGATTAAATCGCATCTGAGCACTACTTCTAAACTATTCACAGTTTGTTTGTTTTTTATAAAAATGAAATGACGCAGTATTGAGACTGCACCCCATGATGCTATTTCTATTTAAATGACCAAATATTAGCCTAGTGTATGTAAATGTGCACGTGAGAGCACAGTTATTTATGTGGCACTCCCACGGGCTCAGTTCACAACTAAATAAAGCCGCAGGTCACGGTTCGACCTGTTAGTGAGTCCACTGAGACTCACACGTCTGGTGAATCAAAAAGCTGTTTCAGTCTGCACTCAGAAAAAAAACAGTCAGTTAAATCTACCAAATAACTCAGCATGCAACACTTGCATGTATTGCAGGTTCAAATCCATCAATTACATTTCATGAGCAGCATTCACTGTTGTTTTATGTAGTAGATTTAATTTAATGTTGTGTATGTATTGAGCAACCTTATGCCCAGGTAAAGCTCTGTAATTTAAAATGTTTGCAGACAGAAGGGGAAACAGGAGCTTCCAGAGAAAACAGGTAATAGTTACACCTCATAATTAACAATAAGTAAGTAATTATCGGGAGGTAAACCAACACCCCAATGCTGCCGTAACAAAAACAAAACCATTTAAAAAGTGCTTGACTGATTTATTGGGCTGCCTGTCTTAAAAACCACATCTGTTTTAGAAGTAGGTGAAAAAAAAGTCTAAAAGCTGTATTGTTAGTTATTAGGCAAACAAAAAAGTGCCTTTATATTTATACACAAATTTGAGCCGCCACACTGGACTTCTTATGAAAGTCAGAAATTAATCATGTATAATAAAACTTTTTTTGGTTGTTGTTCAGAAAGGTAGGTAACTGTAGTTTGGCATCTTAATAAAAAAAAATGTGTGTTTCACTATTTCTTCTGCTTTTCTATAAAACAACGCATTTGAAAATTCACAGGCAACAACAATAATTATATTTTAGCAATAAAAATATGATTTGGATTAAATAGTTTACGCATACTGATGGATTAACATTAGAGAGACATTAAAAAATATTTAGTTAATTTAATTTATGGAAGCTGTGGCACCAACCTTACACTGGGTGGTGGTTTTGCATGTGACATCATCATGTCTCTCAACCCCTTCCCTTTTTTTTATAAGAAAAAGCTAGCTTTTTGTTAAAAACTCAAATATAGCTCAAATTTTAAAACAACAAGAAAAATGCACAAAATGCAAATGAATCACACAAGACACAAAATGTGGACAAAGACATGCAAAATGATTCTAAATGGTTTCAAAGAGATCCAACGTGACCACAAAGGAATGCAAAACAACTACAGAGGGAGGCAAAAACTTCAACCATGGCACACAGAATTACATAAAACTGAGAAAAATCAGCTTCTATCATTGGCTGTACAGCTATTTACATAATTAGGATTGGGGTGTCCTTGTGGCCTAAGAGCGTATGTATGTGTATGTGGTTTTGCATGTGACAGTGAATACCACTCTTCTCATTTGGTCTATCTCTACAGTCTGCTACAAAGTCTGATGAAGGAATAAAAGACAAGAAATATTAGATCAAATAAGCAAAAAGTGAACAATGCCCTGTCTTCATTAGCGTTATCTTTGCAGGCACTACCAAATATGCTCGGAAGAAAAAAATCCAAACAAACTGAAAAGAAAAGAAACTATATTTTATTTCATAATGTGAAGCTATCTGGTAACGGATACGACAGTTTGTAAAGTGACTTCTTCAGATAATTTGCTATAATAGGAAAAGCACAAGTGGTTGTTAATAAAAACAATTCATGCTCTCAGTAAGCAAGTTGACTGTATGTTTAACTGTTGATTCGGTGGTAATGTATACATACACATATAACCTCAAAATCCCTGCACACTCTTGCGTTTGCTCAGCAACACATCTGTCATTTAGTCACTAAGACATGATTCAGAGGCGCTCTAAGTATCTATGCACAGGAACAACCCAATTAGTGTGTGTAGTTATGTCATGGCTCAAGCATCAGCATAGATCAATGTAATCATTACTCCAATTTTCCCTCTTGTCATTAACAGTTGCACAGAAACTCACTTCCACATTTGCATGCATTCATGCCTGCATACACAAATCCTGGAAATGAAAATACCGAAATCACTTTTCATTTTCTCTCCCTAGGAAACCTGCTGGTTTCAGAAATGTGAAAATGCAGGGGATTGCTGGAAATGCAACACTGTCACACTTAGTGGTTGGAGTAGGCCTACACAAGCACACACACACGCACGCACACAGTGTGAAATGATGACACATTCATTCAGTGACACCTGCATCTTCTGTGATTAAGATGAGCATCCACAAAATTTGCAAGTTTCTATATTCACACTGGCATACTTGAGTTATTACCCCCCCGCCACCACCACCACCACCACCCCCCTCTCTCCCTCTGTCTCTCTGCCACACACACACATACACATCATATAGGACACCTGCATCGTGCTGATATGGGAACTTGTGTGCGTTGCCACAAGAACACACGTACACACACATTTAACTAATCTAAATTCCTTTTCTCTCTTTTGGTTCCCCCACCTCCTCTGCTCCTTCCTCCTGTTTCTGTATACCCTGGCTGGGCATTGTGACTATACTGCACATGCTGACATCAGCAACCAGATGCGCCCCCTATACCTCCACCACAAACTCAAACCACACACACACACACACACCACTTAGGAAGCGTATATCAAACAAGTCTCGCGGGATTGCGATGTGAAAATGCAAACAAATGTGATTAATGGTGATCAGAATGGTCCACTGTTACAGAACCACCCTCGTTAATTGACTATTAATTAAACACCCAGCAACTCCTCTGTCACCTACTGTAGCCTATACCTCATTCGTGACTTGCACGGATGGATCTGCTTGTTTGATACTGGGACATAACGTAAAGTCTGCAGCTCATTTAACGGGGAAAAAGTGAAACATTATTAAAAACAGCTGTCTGCACACAGGCCTACCTGTAGGTAAGGCCTATAAAGGCGTTTACCCACTGCACACATGGTAAAGGATATGGCCATTCGGTGATCTTTTTGGCGTATTTTCTCACGAAGTTGTCCTCGCTGAAAATGAACAGCGAACGGTTGACAGTGAAGCAGTTCTGGCGTACGGGGATGGGGTTATACAGTGCCATTGTCCGGGCTCTCTGCGCCATAGACTGCTTGTACATTCTCTGGGCCCCGGGCCCTCCAGGTGGGCCGTGGCCATGCCCGTGACCATGCCCATGACCGTGTCCGTGGCCGTGTCCATGGGGTCCTCCTTGCCTGCTACCACCCCGGCCTCCCGGGCCTCCTCCGCCAGGTCCTCCGCCATACCTGGCTGGTACCTCGTCTCCGAACCGCGCCATTCTCTGGACACCAAAAGCCAATCTTCACGAAGCAGCGGAGAAGGAGACCAATGCTCAGCTGTGCAACCACACAACATTACATCCCATCTGGATCAGAACGTCTCATATGCACAACGGGTTGTCTTGTAAGCTTATGCTGAACACCTGCACCCGGCGAGCAGTTTTGCAGCGCTTGGTTTTAGCAGACGAGGACGCCCATGTACTGTCTCCTTTTCTGTGCGTCTCTGCCAACGGCCAATTGTGGGTGTGAGGAAATTAAATGTGTGGTCGGTTGGCTGACTGGTTGCACTGTAGGGTAGTGCTGTGGGGTTTCTCAGTCTTTGTCCACTCTTATGTCCATATAAAGCAGGGTTCGCTCCCAACATGAAATCATGGTGAGACTGTAGCGAGTTAACATGAATGTTTCATGTTGCCTACGGTACAAGCCTGCCTCAGAGCGCACCCGAGCTTCCTGCACCTTGCTGGACGTTTCATGTCTTTGCTCTGACAACGTTAACGCCCGAGTATAACACAGGCCTCGATAAATAAGATTGTTAAAATAAAAATAAATAAATAATAAAACAGCTTACAGCTATCCACGACAGTCACTGGCGTTCAGGTCGGCATTTTGGAAACAGTCGCGTTTCCACAGACTTAAAGGCATTGAAATGGAAAAGCTACTATTATTTATTTATTTCTGAAACATCCGCAATGTTTGGTACAGTGTGTGGTAATAACGTGGCTCCAGCCACCTTACAGTTGTTTTACCAGTACACTCCACAAACCTTTGGACCGGAAAAATGTGACATTTGCTATTCACGAGCCTTATTTCAGAATGTGAAATTTCAGAAGGCAGCAATGAGACAGAACAAATACCGTTTTTCCGTGAATCATCGGTGTCAATGCTGTCTTAGGTGGAATAATTTTCTCAAACGATTTCATCAGCACCCATCATCTTCTATCCCTCACCTGCGTGGCCATCCAGAAGCCGAGCAAGGGACACGCGAGCGACGGCGTCAAAGACAAGGGTAAGACGGTCGCTTCTCCGCCGCTTTACACCCTCTCATGATCTTGGTTTGGCCATTCTAGGTGTAGCAGTACGAAAGTCCATCACCATTCCCGCCTTTAAAGAAAAAAGTCTACCTTCGTCCGCACCGATGAGCTCAAATGTCCTGGCAGAGCGTCCTTCGTACCTCTCGCTCTCTCCCTCTCTCTCTCTCATTGGAGTAGTCCGTTCCTCAAGGCCTCTTCTCTTCTCTGCTCGTCCGGCAGCCCCCAAGGGGAGGGAGAGAGGGACGAACGGACAGGATGGATCGATGGATCGGTGAATGGATGGTGACAGGATGAAAGGGAGGGGACTGACTGTTTCCCTGGGATTCGGGCCCGAGTCTGTCTATAAATGAAATAAATCGCTCCTCGCGGTGTCTCTCAGCTTGTGTGAACTAGAATGGGAGTCTGCTCAGTTCTGCAGCCAGAGCACATGACGCACGCAGCGCGTCCAACTTCCAGACCTGTGTCAGGGATGGAGGCATCGCCTACTCGCCTGTTTCTTTTAAGGTGATTCGGGCTACATAGCCCTGTCTGGCTGAACTGAAACACAGATATCCCGCTGTTGTCAAACTGAGGCGGACACTCTTGTCTGTCTTCTTCAAAATAAGTATTGTAGGGACTTTTTTATTAGGAGCGTGTGTGCGGCGGAGGGGAACTGTGCGCGCGTAAGTGTACGTATGGCGACGGGGTGGGAAGGATGCTGGGGGGGGGGGCATTATGCAGCTCTTGCAAAGATACAGCTGCAACCCAAGCTGACAATGACTGCGCGCACACGGGCTCGTCAGTAAAGGCGCGTCAATGTGTGTACGCGCGATCCTGCGTGTGTTTGTTAGGGAAGGTGGTGTGTGCGTGTGTGTGTGCGTGTGTGTGTGTGCGCGCGCGGGGGGGGGGCAGGCTATTCTTAGCAACAGACATTTGGAAATTAATGGACGAAGAGAGCACTCCTCACTCCCTCCCTTCCTCCCTGAAACTGAGTCTAGGATCTTCTTTCCTGCCTTCATCGCTCCCTCACTCTCCTCTCCTCGAGGCTTTCATCATCGCTCCACCGAAAACACCGGTGCCTGCTGAAGGTGTGACCATATGGTCTGCGCTAAGGCCCAAGCAAAACAGCAAATATTTTCAGTGACAACACAGAGGGGAGACAGGGGAGGTGGATGGACGGCGCCGAGAGATGATGTGATTTATTTCATAGTGACAACATTTCTGCACACACCACCATTCCACCTTAAAGCATTTCTTTCTTTTTTTCTTTTTCTTTTGTTTTGTTGTTTTTTTTTTTACCTAAAACACATCGTTTTGAAAGCAAACCTCCAAGTGGACGCGGGAGAACGGTGGCAAAGAGCTGTTGTCATATGTAATCACCCAATATACACCTTCAGCAAAATGCTGGTGCCACATTATATTAAGCCCCTAAGAAGAAGAGAGAAAGCCCAAAGTCTGGTCCAGGACAACATCCCCTTGTATGTGAGCTAATTGATTGACTCCACACATAGCCGTGTCAGTGAATGGGAAATCATCTAGCATATAGAGATTTAAGGGTGCCTGGCAAATCTAACAAATCGAATCAGCAGAGGCGTGCGGCACGTGTGAAAGCCAGTCGATACTTTGCCACCTTAAACGCCTCAAATATGTCAGAAGGGGATCGTTTTGCTCTGTGTGCACTTAAGCAAAGAATTCGGCCATGAGAGATACTGACCCCTCCTCAAGGGCATGCAGGATACAAAATTTAAATGCTGATCAGAAGCATCGATATTCTGGTAGATACATTTTTTTTTTACTGTTCTTTTGTTTTGTTGGTATTTTACTTTGATACAACTTTGGCAATACAATTGTATTTCAATACAATTTCAATTCGACTAAGAAAAACCTGATGACTGCTATCCTTGGCATCACTTCAGGACAATGGACAGCACCACAATTCAGCACCGTGGAGAACAACGTGAAATCAGAAACAAAGCCCCAGTGTTACAAACCTGCACGATTGCGCAAGTTCATTGTAGGTCTGACTCACAGGGAGATGCCACTTCAGACAACATGGTTCATGTTTGTGTGCGTATATACAAATTGCAATCCATTACCTTCATTTATTTAGCCACAATCCATTACATACCCATTTTCTAGCAATTGAAGCTGTTTCGGGCTATTTTTCTACTACCTTACACCATAGTCTTAGTGATTATACTCAGCTAACTGCAGTTCAGCGTAATTCTTCAATTAACTTCTTGTTTTTTTTGTTGCTTTGTTTGCTTGTTTCTACCATTTTCTTTCTGTCTGTTGCAGTATCCTTTTGTGGGGGGAGGTATTTACTTTACTTTATGAGGTTATTCATGATAGTTATGATTTAGGCGATTGGGAGTAAAGTGATTTTCACAAATACACAAAGATAAAGATCTATGTGAAACACCTTTGTTGTATCATGAAGGAAGTGCTGAAACATTATCATAGCAGAAGAAGAAAAGTTAATTGTAGTACTTCCAAATTTATAATTTCTCAAATTTTACTATTTCATTTTTTCTAGAATTAGGCCATTTGTGTGTATTTGAGTCCGACCTCAAATACACACAGGTTCATATTTTTACTTAAAATATATGTAAGTAGTACAGGAGAGTGACAGTTTCAAAGGAAAAAAATATGTTGTAATTCTCTATTTTGCATCAATTTTTTTTTTATTAATGATTAGCTCTAGTGTATTTTAAAAGAAAAGACAAACAAATCATCTTTGGATTCTTTTAAAAGTAACCAGATAAAATAATACAGCAAAGTTTTTCTTTTTTTTAACGCCAAGCACTCCAGTAGCCATGTGCAGGGGCACTGAGTTGTGGGCTTTCTTGTAGTCACTCTGGGCAGTGCCCAAGTTGGTCTGCCTGATACTGCCTTAGAGTCTGTCAGCCAGGAGCTGGTGCTTTGGCCTTTTGGTGTTACTTGCAATGCCCTTCTGAGCTGTGCTCATGTATTACTCATGTGCCTACTCATCTTGGTTGCTACGATGCCTGAGAAGAGCTTCAATGTAGTGGAGAGGTTGGTAATGGCCAAGTAGTTGTTGGGATCCTTCATGATCAGAACTGTTCTGCTCTGTGTGGATGAGAACCTGCTGTTAGCAGACCATATATTTGTGCTCAGTGATCATGGAGATCTGTTAGCTTCTTCAGCCAGTAGGTACGGATCATGTCAGGTCCTTTCTTTATTCTGGAGACTTGTTGTTGGAGGTTGCTGTGGTCTGCTCTTAGGGGCGCCAACCACTTGTTGTGTGACACCTCCTTCTCACAGATGTTTTTCCAGTATTTGTCATTTTTAGCTCTTGTTGGGTCTGCCTTGGTGCTATTCTACCCTTTTACCTGAGAGCACACCCTCAATGGATTTTTGAAGAGCGTTTATTCTCTTGGCCTCTGCTTGTCTGGTATATCTCTTCAGTCTAGTGCCCAGAGCTATGCCTCAGCCTCTGCTATGAACATCTTGTTGTACTTTTTTTTTCATTCTGCACCTGTCCATCATGATGCCCTTCTGCACCTCACTTAATTGACTAACATCCTCCCGCACATGTTCTTCATGCTGAACTTCCTCTATCTGAATCCTTGATCTCACTGGGTCAGCTCACTTAGTTGCATTCCATCAATTTGATCTTCTCAGTTCTTGTACATATGTGCCCACTTCTCATCAATGTGTCCCAGTTTCTCAACACCTAACACGGAACCTGTTAAGCCAGACAATGTCCCTTGAGTACCCCTTGCCCAAGGTAGGCTGGGGTAGCATGCAGGGCCTAGCTTGGGGATCCTTAGTGAATGAATCCCTGGCCAAGATTCAAAACCACAAACCTATTGTTCTAAATAAACACAAGAAAGTGAGTTTGGCAAAGACGTTACGCCTTATATCTTGTGACAAAATGCAGAGTTGGGATTAGTTAACACAATGATGTATTCATTATTCATTATTAACCTAATAAGATAATTATACTCTGTGTCGGCTGTTACGTTTCCTTCTTGTGAGTTATGTGCGTTAGCATTTAAATAACGTTACTAATGATTGTCATTTGAATCTTGTTTTTGAAACATTGTCTTTCCAAAACCTCTAGACTGTTACATGCTGTGTGTGTTTGTTCATAAATGTGTGTATTTACACTTGTGTGTGTTGATCTGTGAAATTATCTATTGCTGTTCAGTGCCAGAGGCTTTAAGGAGCAGCTCCTTCTGTCCAAACCTGTTATTCCACACAGCCGGCATAAGAAGCACTGCGGAGCAACAACACCAAGGCCACCCATGCACAAAACATTGTTACCTCACCAGAGCACATGAACTGTCTCTATAAAAAAGACTGCGGTAAATGATAAACAGGCTGTATTTATTGTGATTTTACTTCTATGACTGAAACCACACGTTTTTCCTTACCTCTCTCATTTAGTGGAAGAAAGATGTTTTGGGCAACCCAGACTTTAGTTCATATGATGTTCACAGTAATAATTAATTTCATAAGAAGGTGCAATGGTAAAGATGCTGACATTGTTCATATCTGTCATAGGGGCATTGTTTTTTAATCCATCAAGTTAAATATCACAACTATCCCGCATACTTTTCCTGTTAAGTGCTTGTAATTGTCAGGGCAGTATGCTGACTGCTTTTTTAGAACTTCAGGTAGTGTTTTAAATTCAGTTTGGGGTCAAAAATCTGTGCAAAAGTCTCAACATATGCCTCATTTCTTTTAATACTGTCTTGAATTTGTCTTGGTCTGCAGCAATAGTTCTCCAGGTTTTGTTATGATCAAAGTTTTTCTTTGGACAATGGCTGCTTTTTACTTATTGTCAGTCCAATCCTTGTACCGCACCATTTTAGAGGAATTTTTATTGTTGTTGTTTGTTTTCTGTGAACACTGACCCCAGAATTATCCAAGCATCAAAATGTCACCTCAACTCAAGGGATGAACAAATTTTAAATTGCATCTTTTTAGACTCTTTGTTATTAGCAGCCTCTTGCAAAAGCACAAAAGAAGAAAAAAATTGCAAAGCAGGAGGTGTTGGAATTACAGAAACAATGTTTTTACTTGTTATACTTTATTTTCATGTATGTTTGTGCATATACAAATTGCACAGCACTGTAGAATATACACAAATACGGACAACACGGACATCTTTGAAAAAAAAAAATGTTTCTGCATAACTGGCTAGAGAACCAAATTAAGTTTGACTTTAGTCAAAGAAGGAAGATGAATAATCAGGACAGAATTATTCGTCAACCTGTTAAAAAATGATGGAATCATGGATGTAAATGCAACACACACAAAAGCTAGTCTATCCGTAGAGATTGAACATGTCTGAATAGTTCTCTGTTGTTTTTCTTCCTCTGTCAGATGTTCAAATAGCGGGTAGCTGTGAGGCTGCAGCTCAGAGGCGAGGACCTAAAAAGGAGTGTCGTGACTCAATGATTCATAAGACTGAATAATTCAATCGCTGGATGCATGTAGAGCACTCCGCCCCTGCTGAACCCGGCACTCCACAGACCAGTCGCAGATTTTCATGTAAACCTCTGTAACACTGGCTCACATTATACACAGCAAACAAAAAACGACAGATTGCTCTAAGGGTCAAACGTGTTATTTTCCTGTTGTTACAGCATCATCATCTTTACATAACCTGAATTCTGAGGTATTTGAGTACTCAGGTGTTCAGCCTCAGAAAACTGTGTGTGTGTGTGTGTGTGGGGGGGGGGGGGGGGGGGGGGGGGGCGCTGATTCAACAGAAGGCATAGTGATGCCTCCAGGAGAATCTGACCCATGATAATTCAGTGAATCACAGAGCCTTTAAATGAGTCCACCAACTGGGAATTGAAATATGAACCCACTCTTCATAACGCTTGTCATGGCTGGATGAATGTAATGCTGGGGGCAGCAACATGGCATCCAACAACGAAGTGGGAATCACATCAGTTGTATGAGGAGGAGATATGTGTGTTATTGTGGATGTTCACTGACTGAGACCAATACTATAGGCTCACAGAAGGAGCTCAAATTAACCTTTTTTATGCAGGGGATTCATGCGGATGTTTGGAATCACGTGCACACATATCTGTCTCTGTAGGAGGAAGGATGGTGGACTAAAGTTTATCAGTGCTAGAAGAAGCTCACGTTTTACATTTTTAAACATCCAGAATTATTAAGGTAGTTATAAGTAGAGTAAAGCAGGTGGTCCTCTACATGGAAACATCTTTTTCACTTTATCTTTGCATATTTAAATCACAATTTAACTTCAATGTAAAAGCAATGTACTTCTTGTGGGGGTAAAGGAAATACCTCACTTTCCTTCTATAAGAGTTTGCCTGGATACAAACCAAAAGAGGGAGCAGGAGAGTGGACGTGCTAACCTTAGTGGTAAGTAGGCCAAGTAAGCATTTTTTTTCTCCTTGGGATTCTCCAGTGAGGATGAAGTCATCATCTCCTCTATGAACTCCCTCCTTTCTCCTGTTTTTTTTTTTTTTTCACATTCTTCATTTTTACAGCTTTCAAAATTTCGCACAGATTCAGAGTCACTCAGTGGATTAATGAAATTGTATAAACTCTTTTTATACATTTTTATTACTTTCTATGTTAGCTTTTTTTTTTTTCTTAATCCAGTTTCTGCATAAGTTGTCATGAAAATCCTGTGCAGCAGGTTAAGAGATTTAAAGCCTGGCAATTACAAAAAAAGATCTTTGTGTATATTTTGTCAAACACTATTGATACAGTTAGTGATGAACAAATTGGCAAAAACACCACCTCCTGTGTGGAGGCTTAAACATTTTTACTAGTTGAAATGTGCTGATTAAGCTGATTCAGTTTGTAATCATGGGCATTCAGTTCCCTCCAGTGTTCACATGGATAAATTGCAGCATATGGTTCCCTGTATTTATTAAACCTGTAAGAGAGTTTGCTCTCACTGAGCCTTAACTGTGGCTGGAATTAATGTACATGAAGGCGTGTTAGACATATGGGTCACATATATATGAGACCAGACCACAGGATCTGATACTGTTGACCATACTATTTTCCCTCCACAGACTTAGAAATCTGTTTATCCCAGGTTAAAGGACATACAGTGATGTGTAAAGTGTTTTCCGTCTTCCTGATTTAATTTTTTTTGTATGTTTCTCACACTTAAATGTTTCAGATCATCAAACAAATTTAAATATTAAATATTAAAGATAACACAATAAACACCAAACTTCAGTTTCGTAATAAAGGTGTTTATTAATAAGGGGAAAAAATCCAAACACTCATGGTACCATAGCAGTTCGCCATTAAAATAAATAAATAAATAAAATATTTAAAAAGAAATCTGTATAGAATATCTTTTGTATAATGTTTTATAGGGTTTTTTGTAACTCTAATTTGTAATACTATTTTTTGTAAATTTATTTTCATTCTTATCCTTTTATATGGTTTGCATGGTACGGGTGGCATTATCTTTGAGATGACGGAGGTCAAACATTTTGTTTTTCCGGCGTTTTACTGAAAAAGAAAAGACTTCGAGCCCCACAATGCTTTGCGTTTCCAACATGGCGCCTCCCATATCTGCTTGACTTATGTCAACAAGACCGAAACGCCGCTGAAGGTAAACGGGGGCTTTATAAGGACACTAACTAATAATACATCGACAGGGACGATGAAAGTGTTGTTGGCTGTGTTAAAGCAAATCCACAAGCCAGCTCTTTGCACCGGTAACCCGCGCTGTCTGAGCTCCGGGGCCACCAGTGGCCTGTTACCTCTCGGGGATGAAGCTCCAATGGTGGGCTCCAGCCCGGAGCTGGTGCAGAAGCTGCGCTCGCAGGTGGAGGTGAGGACGGACTTCATCACTGAGGCAGAAGAGGCTGCTTTTCTGCGGGAGCTGGACCCAGGCCTGAAGAAGAAACGCTACGAATTTGATCACTGGGACGATGTAAGTCAGGTTCATTGTTGACTGAAACTTTAGGAAAGTTGAATGTATTGAATATTTAAAAAGGTGTAGGTGAAGGTGGTTTACTGCACTGTGATTAGAAGTGATTCTGATAGTTTGTCTAACCCAACAACGTTTATGAGGCAGGATAAAATATTAGACACACTTCTGACAGTAATGCAGTCCAACACCCCCCCTATGACCTCAGTGATAAACAACATAAAGTACAGTAGTTCGTTTTTAACTGCATCACAGAGCTATAGCTGTATTCACACCTAACACTGTCACTGATCAGTGTAGTTGAACTGTTTTCTCTTCAGAGTAACACAGGCTGTGAGACCGACTTTGTTTTTCCTGCACATTTAGGCAATCCACGGGTACAGAGAGACTGAGCGTCTGAGGTGGGGCGCGGCATGTGAGGAGATCTTGAATCGGGTCCGATCTACAGCATTTCCTGAATGTAGCCAGCTCCTCGGCCCTGTGCACGTTATAGATTTGGACAAGACTGGCTACATCAAGCCCCACATCGACAGTGTCAAGGTGGGTTTGCCAGGATTTTTGCACAGTGGCTTTCTAAAAAAAAAAGTTGCACACATGGTGATCTTACTCTCTAACTTTTTCCAGTTCTGTGGAAGCACCATTGCAGGGTTGAGTCTGTTGTCTGACAGTATTATGCGCTTAGTGAAGGAGGACACACCCAGTGAATGGCTGGATCTGCTGCTTTCCCGACGCTCCCTCTACATACTGAGGTGCTGCATTTGCCTCATATCTGTCTTAATGTTTCCTAAATATGACGTGTTTGAGATTTTGATTAATACACAAGGCTGAATGGTTATAGTAAAGAAGCAGCTGTGGCAGTTTGCAATTAACAAAGGTTCACCCTGTCCTTTTTACACCTGTGCAGGGACCAGGCCAGATATAAGTTCACTCATGAGATCCTGAAAAATGAGGAGTCTGTGTTCAACGGGCAGAGAGTGCCTCGACAGCGACGCATTTCTGTCATCTGTCGTAACCTTCCAGGATAAGCTCCAGCTCTAATAACAGCAGCAGATCATCAAGTCCAACTTTGAGGTTTCTGCCAGTGATACTCATGGAGATATCAAGGCTAAGATCTTTCAAGTTTATTAGCGACTATAAATGTGTGTGTTTAGAATGTTTATTGGACGTGACGCTCTTCTGGTCATGCTGTTGAAAAAGACTATAAATTGATTCAATTTAAATGGCATTCTTCTAAATTTGCACTGGATCTTACCAAAGACGTCGGATTTAAACGTATCTGAATGTTGTTTTCGGTTCACCTTTAAAATGTTGTTTCAGATTTGTGTATTTATACAATAATTTCATCACTTTGTTGCGCTTTTCTAATTCTGTATAATACAGTCTCTTTGTGAAACATTTCCAATGTACCTTAGCAAATAAAATTATGATCTTGAATGTTTAAAAACTTTTAACTGAACACTGTGTGAGAACTCAAAAAATGGTTTATTAATGAATATAATTAGGAACAAATTACACAAATACGCAGCTGGACAACACTTGGAGTGAAGTGCTGTGAAACAACAGCACTTTACTCCAATTCTTTAAGTACTGACATCACTACACTAACATCTAATGTTCTAATTGAAAACAGTGTGTCCTTCTGCTCAATGGTTTGCCTAAAAATGCACTTTAATGTTTATATTGTTTATAATTTCCCCTAGGGATCAATAAAGTATTCTGATTCTGATCAACTGATCAACATGTGCTGCTGCCATCTAGTGGCAGCAGCACATCTTCTCTGATAAGGCAAATTCATTGCAGGAGGAACCGCACTCTATTCGTTGATCCTAAATGAAAGGGATCAAGACATAAAGTACTTAAACATGACTTCCTGGGCAACCCTAGTTTAGACAAATACTCCTTATGTACTTCTTTAGTCTTTTAACACAGGTAAAGAAGACTGTACTAAATTATTTATTTTATTGTAATGACTGCATACGAGTTGGGTTTCAACACACTGATGACACCACAGTCGGGGAGTCAATATAATAGTATATTGCAGAGAGGAATGGGGATTAGGTCTCATTCAAAGACATGGTGGTTACAGAACTTCTGGGCCTGGGATTAAAAGGTAAAATGCGTCTTTAAAGACGATGTCTGTGATGTGCTAATTATCATGTTTATATTTTTCAAACAGGGGCTCTAGACGCAGGCTGTGGAGGAGCTTCCCGGGATGCCCTGACCACTTCTTCCATACCCATGTGATTTTTTTTTTTTGAATGCTCTGTTGCATGTTGTATCTTTTATCTATACCATCCTTCAGGTTTTATTTTGTCTTTTGTTGTTCATGGTCTTTCTTCTCTTTCCCAGCTGGCCAAGGCAGATGTTTGTTCTTCTCTGAGTGTGATTCTGTCTCACATATAAACCTAATGAAAGGGAGTTCCTTCTCTCGACTGTTGCCAAGTGCCGGTTCATAGGGTGCTTTGTGATTTTGGGGGTTCTTGCTCTGATATTGTAGAGTCTATCCTGGTTTGAGCTGGTGCAATGCAAATATATTTCAATTAAATTGTATTTATATTGTGCCAATTCACAACAACAGTCACCTCAAGGCACTTAATTTTGCAAGATACAGTATTAGAATGAAACCCTAACAATCACACAACCCTCTATGAGCAAGCACTTGGTGACTTAGGGACAAATTCAAGCACAACCAGGCTCAGGGAGGGGCAGCCATCTACTGTCACTGGGTGGGGGTGAGAGAAAAAAAGAAGAGAGCGAAGAGAAAGAGGACAAAAGGTAAACTACAGGAGTGATGGGCAGAGTTTAAGAATTGCTAATGACTAAATACAGAAGTGATGTATAAAGACAGACAAGTGAAAAGAGCAGCTTGAAGAAGAAGCACTCAATAGATCGAGGGAAGCCTCCCAGCAGCCTAGACCTATTACAACACAACTAAAGGAGGATTCAGGGGGTCACCTAATCTAGACATACCTATATGTTTTGTCAGAAATGAAAGTTTCTAAACTTCCAAACTGGGAGCTGGTCTCCCAGAAGAGAGGTCTGATAGCTGAAGGTTCTGCCTCCCATTCTATTTTCAAATGTCCTAGGGCCCACAAGTAAGCCTGCAGTCTGAGAGTGAAGTGCTCTATTGGAGTGAAATGCTACTATGAGGTCATTAAGATAAATGGAGCCAGATCACATAGGTTCATAGATAGATAAAACTGGGTATCATCTCCATAGCAAAGAAAATGTACCCAATGTTTTCTAAAAATATTACCTAATGAAAGCATGTATAATATAAAAAAGTACTGGTCCCATCACAGAACCCTGTTGAACTCCCTGAATAACTTTTGTGTGTGAAAAGAGGCTCCTCGTTCACATGAAAAAACTATAATCTACATGTGTGATACATGTGATTCACTACAGTACTCTTGATACCAACAGTGTGTTCTAATCTCTGCCGTAACATATTTGGTCAGTGATATTGAATGCTGCAATAAGGTCTTGCAGGCCAAGCAGTTAATAGTCAAGAGGCCATAAGACTTTAACTGGTGCAGTTTCTGTGCCATTCTGCACTCTAAATCCTGACTAAAAGATTTTAAAGTAAACAATTCATTTGAAAAATGTTCATTTAATTGTTTGACAACTACTCTTTCAAGACTTTTTGAAATAAAAGGTTTGAAATTGGTGTACAATAGAAGTGTTTTTGCTTCAAATCGCACCACAATCTTTGTAAACTCACAAAGACGAGGAAGATGAGAAACCTCAGACAACACTGCACACAAATCACTTTTACATCCCTTTAACAGTATTGGCATTTTAAGTGCTGTACTTTTTCATCATTAAAATAATAAAGTTACTTGCTGCCTACCAGTTGTGTCAAAATAGTAGCTTCCTTTTACGTGATAAAGGTTATCCCAGGACAGTAAACAAAGCAGCAAACTAAGCAAATGAGCTTTCAAAAATATTTGCATGCACCCTATTTCAGGGTAATCTTTGTCTTTACAGAGGGAGGACAAAATAAACAATCGATGCGTGTTCTGTGCCCAACTATACTTCATGAACAACAAGCACCCAAAGTAAGAAGTGAATGTTAGTTGCTGCCATTTCTTTTTAATGCTTTCTTTGAATTATTTTCACTCTAAGCAACACACATACATATTTAGATGTTTAATGTGAAGTGTGTTTAATAAATCTGTTTATATTAAAGTACTTTCAGGAACAAGTGATTTGATAAACTGACAAAGAAATAAAACTGCCCAGTTTTGTCCTTAAAGGACAAAAGGTTTTTTTTAACATTGAAGGAGGTACAAAAACTCAAATCCTTACATAAGAATAGTTTTATTAGAAAAAAATTTCTATGCAAGGAATTAAAAACAAACAAAAAAAAAACAAAACAGAACTATCAGGTTTTAACTATCAGGTCAAAACAAAATTTTTCATTCAACATAATTTCATGGACAAGTCTGTTACTTAAAGGGAACCTATTGTACTATTCCTTATTTTCTGTTATATACACATTTTTTTCTTCTCTGGGATTTTTGATGTAAATGAGAACCCTGTAAAACAACTTTTTTTTTTTTTTTTTTTTTAGGAGGGGCAGCCAATCAAAACAAAGTTAGCTTACAAGGAAGTGGTAGGCAGCTAAAACAAAGGATAAACTGCACTACAGCAAAGTGGAAGATAAAAAAATCTACATGTATATATTTTGAACTGGAAATCTTGCAAAGCAATTTTACTGTTTTAGAGTTCAAGAATAAAAATACAGAAAAGAAAACTGACAAAATAAGTCCGCTTTAAGGTGACTTCTGCTGAAGGCGGGTCTAGCTTCCTGTGCTGTGGCATATCACAGAACAACCTGTGCAGACTATTCTTCCATGGGTTTTATTGAAAACACTATAACCTTTGAACAAAAGAGGGTCAGTTTTAGCACTTCACCACTTCTACAACCACAACATCCCTCTGTTCCTTTGGTTATTCAGTGAGGTAGAAGTGCATTTTGTCGTTTATGTTCTTGCGCTCTGGATTGAGGCGCTTAAGGATCTGTGCCAGCACGTTGACAGTCTGCTCACTGCTCAGGCCGGTGCGCTTAGTCTGGAACTTCTTCAACAAGTCTTTAGTGGTCATTGGTTTACGGATCAGGTAGCGGCGGACTGCTTCCTCTGTCAGCTGCACATCACTGTGGGGTGAATGAAAAGTAAAGAATACAGTTTAACACTCATATTTACATTATATATCTATTGGTGTATTTATGTTAGCCTTCTGAATCGTAAGACAAGCAGGAAGAAATAACTGTGTGTCTATGAAACTGTATTGAAGAAAAAAAAAAAACCTGGACCTTACCTTGAGCTTGGGGTGGATTTGCCTGATTGGGGTTGAGGTGTGCTCTTCCCAGAGGGAACAGGGCTCTGGGTGCTGGGTTCCATCTTAAGCTTTTTGGCAGCAGGTGAGTCGATGCTAGGACCTTGTCTCTTACCTGGAGACAAGACAGAGAAGACAAGTTTGTTTGGAATGGAATAACAAAAAGAGAAGATTTGAGAGTAGAAAGCTACTTGTGAAGGTCCTGCATATATCTACGTATGTACACTATACTGTGAACGTATGAGCATTTGTGTGGGCTTTCTGAGAAATCACCTTGCTCCAGCTTGCTGGCGGCAGCACGGAGTGTGTTCGAGGTGGAGGCAGAGTCTAAGGATGGAGTTCCAGGACGGCTACCAGTCCTGGAGCTGCCTGCAGAGCCACGGCCACCAGCACGTTTAGGAGGTGTGCGTTTCTTCTGAGATAGGAAGGAAAAGACGATAATTGATGAGAATGCAAACAAAGAATGAAAAATTCCAATATAGAATAACAATCCGCACTAATATGAAATACTCCAAAGCTTCAGCATTACAAAACTGGTCGCACACTGGTCGAGCCATTGTTTTATTAAGCAACAACGGTACTGATGTTAATTATGATAATGATAGGAAAATATATTACAAACTAATTTGGCTTAAAAAGAAATAAATGTGAATTTGTTCAGTTACGCACACTAACCGCCATGAACAGAGCAGAGGCCGTCTCTCCTTCGATGTCACTGTCATCTGAGCTGTCTGATTCTCCACTGCTGTCTGTGAAGCACAAGAACATAAATCTGACTACTCATACACACACATTGCTCACATATTTTAAAATACTCCATTCAACAGTACGTGTTGTGACTCTTTTTTAAAAATTTTTTACCTTTTTTCTTCTTCTTCTCCATTTGAACTGGGGTTTTCTTCCCTTCCTCCTCCTCTTCCTCCTCTTTTGCTTCCTCATCATTCTGTTTCTCCTCCTCACTCTCTTCCTCACTTTCAGATTCTTCATCAATCCCTACAAAAGGATAAATATTCAGAAACAATCTAAATACATTGATTAGTGAAAAACTAGACACTTCTGGCAGGTATCTGGCCATAACGTTCGTCCAGATGCGGAGCTAAGTTATATGAGACCTAAGTCATTTTCAAGATTGTGTCTACTCAGGTCACCTTCCACTCACCTAACTTTTCAATGCCTAAAATAAATTTTTTGACACTGTATGCATAAAATCATATGTTTGGGGGTGCCTGTGCCGCAAAAGATAGAATGGTGCGTCTACCAATCAGCATGTTGAAACCGTGAGTCGCCTGTGATGCATCCATCAGATTGTGTTCCTTTAGGGTTTGTATGAATGTGTGTGAGACTGTGTGAACATCCAAGTACACGTCCATTTACATTTACTGTGTTTTATAGCTTCACTTTTATTGAGTATTTTTAACAATAAATTGATCTGACCTTTAGGGTGTTCCTCTGCTTTGACAGGCTTTCCCTTTTCCGGTTCTTCTTCTGAGCTAAATTTGAAACACAAAATAAATGAATAAATAAAACAACAAACAACAAAAAAAACCCAAACATTGTTGATACAGTGTGAGTCTTTGTGTGCTACCGTGTAACGGATCTGACCTGCTTTCATCTGACATATAATCCACTTCTAGGCCCTCGTAGTCTCCGTCATCGCTGTCTTCCAGAGCCTCGTTGTCTTTACTCTTTTGCTTCTTTCTCTTTGCTTTTCCTTTCCCAGCATCTTTTTTTACCTTTGGCTTGCTCTCTCCATCTGTCCAACAAAGCCAAAGTGTTTGAAGGAAGAAAATCAAAAGATGAAAGCTGGAGACGTTTTACAATAGTCTCTTCTTCTTGTTGTGTCTTTCTCCTTACCGTCCCCCATACTGCTGTCACTGTCATCACTGCTCATCTCCAGCTCGTCCTCCAGGTCATGAATGCGCAGGTCACCCCCTCTTCCGCCCCCCTTCTTTTTCTTCTTCCCAGATTTTTCTCCTTCGTCTTCGTCTTCCTCACCCCGCTCCTGCTCTCGAAGACGTCTCTGAAGCATGATGCTAAAGTGATTCACCACCTTGTTCCGCCTAGAAAAACAGAGGGTGACTGTCTTAAAATCAAACAATTAACATCTAGGGTCAACTGAGTACTTATTTTTAAGTACTCATTTTTCTTCATCACTTTTAATCCCAAACCACCCCCGTCCTTTCCCTTTCACCTGCCCCACTCCTCCTCAGCCTCCTCAGCAGTCAGAGTTCGGTGTTTGGCCTGTGGTGTAAAGTTGTACCAGCCGTGAACAGGAAAAGCCTCGAAAGCTCCATCGGGACACTGCGTGAAGATGTAGTAGGATGCATTTTCTGTAACGCCACCCTTCTTTATACCTTTGAACCTTAAAAAAAACAAAAAAAAAACAAAAAAAAAACATTCTTTACAGACATCAAGTCACCGAGATTTCTCTAAATAATAACTCTTATAATACATAATTTTATCTTGCATTACCAACACTTTTGGAGAGTAACTCAGAGGGAGTCTCTCTACTCACCTCTTGCCAGCTTTACCATTAACCTTGAGAATCCAGGGCTGATCCTCCACTTTGAATTCACGCGTGACGATACCAAACTTCTTCCGACGAGCTTCCTCGCGCTGCTTTTTGCCAAACTCACTACCTGCTGCGCCTTCAGGGGTCTCTTCCTCCCCATATATCTTCCGAGCACTCATATCTCTTTCCATACGAGCCTGGGGAAAGGAGAAAGAGCAATGGAAAAGTGAAAAAAAAACAAACCCCAGCCTACTCATTCCTAAATTTATCACATCTTTCTCGCTCTTTTTTTTTGTTTAAGGCGAATAAGACTGGCTGATATTCCTTTCTCATATCAACTCTAGCTCTGTCATACTGAAAACCTAAGCTTTGTCTGTGAGGTGTAGTTAAAGTATGAAGCCCACCTGTGTCCATGTTGAACAGTTGACTCTGTCCCCTGCATTGAAAGCCATTATATTGTACTTCTTGCTAGTGTTTCTATGCAAAGAAAAAAAAAAAGAAGAATATAACTGAGCTCAATTCATTTGCGTCACAATCATCTTCTAATAGTCATGCACGTCTTCAAGTGACACCTAGAATGACCAAAACACACATGAACACATGCAAAACAGTGACATAAGGCAAGTCCTGTGCACACAAATCTCTTTGGATATTTACATGTGTTACTCACTTGGGGACACGCACGATGTATTCTGTGGTTGAGGTGCTGCTGCTGCTTCCCTGTAAGAGAAAAAGTGTTCTTGTTGGAAGCCTGTCACATTTGAATAATGTGCACACCATGAAAGCCATGTCAGACCAGTACAGCTCAAAAGTCTTGAGTCTCTTCCTTTATATTTACAAGTAAAATGGAAATGCAATAACTTACTCAAACCACATATAAGGTAAAAATGGAGTTTGTACAATTGTAACAAACTTTAAAGTCAATATTTAGTATAATTTGCTTAATTCTTCAACACAGCCTGAACTCTCTTATCCAAGCTTTCTTGTCATTTCTTCCAAGATGTCTTCTGTAATAGTTCCCCAGGCTTCCAGAAGAACGTCCAAAGCTCATTTTTTGACAACAAACCTAATCAGACACTTAAAATCATTGCCAACCTGATTGGACAATGTAAAGAAGACCACAAAGGATCAAAGCATTTTCAAGGAAGACTATGGAGACAAATAAAAGCAAGAAAAGCACTGGAAAAAGTGAATTTTTTTTTGCATCTGCTGTCAATGTAGTTTTTAGAAAGAGAAAAAAGAGAGAGAGAAAAAAAGGGAAACTGGAATTAGCCAAACTGAAATGAGCCAAACTGTAATGAGGTACAACACTGGATAATCTTTTGTGTTACCTGCCTCTTTCATGCTTGAATAATAGGTCAGTGTTAAGTGGTTGACAAACAAACCGACCAACAAAAAAACAAAAAACAAAAAGCAACTCCTCTGAAAATAATTAGGTGCAAGGACTGGACTGAAAATGAGTTTACGAAGCAGCCAAAGAAAACTCCGTCAGAAAGCCTGGAGAACTGTTTCCAAAGACCACTTAAAAATACAATTAATTCTGGCTACTTGGAAAAAAAACATGGAGAAATGAGGGATGGCTCAAGACTTTTGCACAACACTGTAGATTCACGGCATTAAACATAGCACAAGAGTGGATCAAATTATCAAAAGAAAATAAAGACATACTTTTGTGTTGTCAAATGAAAGCTTACCAGTGATGTCATGGTTGGTTGTCAGTCTCTGGATTTACGACACCACATCAACAGCTGCTTTAGGCGAGGTGGACACACCGTTACGAAAACAGAGTAATGATACTAATAAGATAATACATAATAATATATAATTCAGTCAGTTTGTGTTTATTTTTAACTCAGATTATCCAGCTGAGAAACAGAGAACCGAAAAGGTCTGTGAAGGTACGATATCCCTGCACGAAGACATTCAAATAATGCTTTATAAGCGTTTTCAGCAAGTTATGACAATTTTAGGATTAAAACAAACGCGGCAGAATAAAGGAAACCTATCCCCCTTCCATGACTCATTTGTAATATTACAAGAAAGACTGACTAAAGTTAAATTAGGCTAAAGTTATACGAAACGAGGTGTAACTGATGTTTATATCTTTGTACGTTAGCTTTAGCAGCACCACATTTTGCAAGCAGCTGTAGCTGCGGTCTGTAGCTAACTGTGAAAACAAGCAGGAACACTGTAAACTCATGAGACCTATCCATCTTCGACCAATGCAAAAAATATTGGAAATTAAAAAGACTAAATATGAAATATCGGCTCATAAATGATTATATACCGTCTTACCGCTGTGTGCACTCCAATTGCACTTGTTCCGTTTGCCTCTATGGTCAATAGGAAACATTTACTGTAGACATTGGTTCCTACCAGTCCCTTTGAAGGGTTCCGCTTGTTCCCTTGTATTCACCAGTTTATCTTGTTTAAGAGTTTCTTTCTACCACCCCACTACTCATCCACCGAGGAAAATATTTCCAGAAAGTGGCACTACCTTTAACGCAACATTTTCAAACACGTGTGTAAGATGATATCCACAATCTGCACTAATAAACTAGTAAAATGTGTGTTTTAGGGTTTTATTAGTTTTAAATATTCATTTTGTGAATAAATGCAATTTGCCTGTGTGAGAAGCAATTAAAGAGACATAAAATATCCCTCATAGTACCTGTATGTCAATAGCATTTAGTGTGTAACAGAGGATTTAGCGAGTGATTACAATGATAGCCTGCTCTGTGGAGCAGTTTAATTCAACCCTGTTTCATTTATATTAGATATACATTATACACACACACACACACACACACACACACACACACACACACACACACACACACACGCACACACACACACACACAATATTAGAGACAAAAGAAACCCAAGAATGTGTCACATGTGCTTGAATTGCAGGCTCTGACCATAACAAGAACATACCTTGACATGGGCCTTAGAACACGTGTACAAATTTGTCCTATATGACTTATCAAAACCCTCCCAGAAGTAACAAAACAAAAAGAGAAGTGTAATTTTTAAAATTTATCTTGTCAACTAGTAAAGTAGTATTGATTGTTGCCTTTACTTTCCATTATCCACATTGATTGACTCACAAAAACAGCACTGCCAAGGAAACATGACATTAAATGCTACAAACACTAATAAGAAAGAGAAACTTTGATGAACAATCTGAACTGACTAATAATAATTACTTATAGGCACTTGTTTATCCTTTATCACACATTTGACTGTTTAACTTCGACTTGTCGCTGGTCATATAATAAGGTCATATAATAAACTTGTTAGCAAGGAAGAAGACTATGGATTTGACCAAGATTAGATCGAAAAGCTATGATAAAGGGAAACAGATACACAGTGTATATATATGTATGCACGATACAGTGCATAAGATAAGCAGTGATTAAATAATGGGCTATTTTAATTGCAATCCTTGAACATGTCTGCTACAAATGGTGCACAGTGACTGTATTTTTTTTATCATCTTCAATTTGTATTTGCATTATCTCTTTGCATGTTTAAGGCAGGATTAACTTTTTTGGGAAGCAATTCAAATTTCACAGTGTGTGCTACAAGTATTCAGGACTGACGAGCAGATGTCATTGACACACGATGTTTCGTATGATGATGAATTACTTTGCTTTGTCACTTCTACTTGGTATGTAATTTTCATTCAATTCAAAATAGAACCTGAAAGCAGAAAAAAATCTAGATTTTTTTTTTAATGAAAAAAGCTCTTTTTGATTGAAATTGTATTTTGCCTTTGATAAATGTTCTGTTGGCAGTCCTAAAGAAAAATACATCTGAACATACGCTTTTGGTAACCCTCAAAAAAATTATTATAGCAAATATTTGACCACTCTTTTGCATTTGCATGGACCCGGCTTTAAAGCGTAGTCCACATATTTTTAGTAGACTTGAGGTCAGGGCTTTGGGAAGCTCATTCCAGAAGCTTTATGGATCATTTCTCAACAACTGCAGATTCCAAGATCAAACAATTTTATGGAAGTACAAGTTATTGTGCTGTGTCATTACTTTGCCAAGTTTTGAAAGAAGACACACTGTGAACCCAAGATGAGGGGACATTGATTAGGATGTGTAGAAACAAGTGAGGAACCACCATGTATTCATGTGTGTGTATGTTACATATAAAGCAATAACACATCAACAGAATGCTTGTTTTTTTATAAATAGGTGTGAATGTGGAAATGAGGCAAGTTGTATAAAGTGCTTTAAGTTGTCAGGTAGAGTAGAAAAGCACTATATAAGACTCAGTCCATGTAGGTGGATGAGGATTGTTGTAGTTATTTTTATGACTATTTTGATTAGCATTTATTTTGTCACCTGGAGAGCATACTTAAACTTGCAAACACAGCACATCTTTCCATGCCGTGTGCACTACATTAATATATCCTTTGTCATGTTCCTTAATGTATTCTACTAAAAAAGAAAAATTATACAGTCTTGGAGGCATTCCTCAGTTTGATTCAAGTGTAAAAATGAAGTTGGTATGTGACATTATAGAGATGGTAACGTGAATGATTACTTTTCAATAGTATAACAATTTAACAGTAATTTTTAAGATTAATTAAACATTTCTATAACTTTTTATCTTCTTTGTTTCAGGTTTGCTTGTGATACCTGTTATTACTGTGTTTCCTCCTGGTATGAACAAATAAATAGCCAATATATGTGATTTAAAATCACCATAAAGTAATAAATTATGTGTGATAATTATTGTACATATTTGATTTGCATTGTGCAGGTTCTTGTGATGGATACACCAATATAACTCAGTCGTGGCGCAATCGGGGATTTGACGCTACTTATTTTGGTGCCACTCTTGTCAATGACCAGCAGCTTCTTAACAAATGGTGGCGCTTTACAGGGATTGGTGGAGACAGAGTTATTATTAATTGTGTACCCCCTTATCGTGGTGGCACATGGGGTGCTCTTTTTATTTCATCACCTTATCCAACCACTGAGTCTCTGACACCAACAACAGTGACTGCATATGGCTTCTATTCTCGGTGTACTGACATGTCCGCTGTAGTGAATATAGCTCTCTGTCCTGGAGGATTCTACGTGTATCAACCAATGAGTTACCCATATTCCCAGCAAGGATATGCGACCTGTGAGTAGTAACTAATTCTTGTCACCATGCTTCTGTTCATTTTTACTTCTAAAATAGAAATCTTAGCTTGAATCCCTTTTTCAAATATTCAGAAATCATTCATTCATTCACTCATTCATTCTTCTCTTGGTAGAGGTGGATGCATCTTTCCCCCTCTCCCTCCCTTATCTTTCCCTGCTTGGTTTCTGTTCTTTTCTAGTCTTGTCTAACTCTAACCCTCAGAGAGTCTCTCAGTCTTGTTCTGGATTTGATCAATTAGTCCCTTAATGAAATTGACACTGCTTGATGGTCAGTTGTGTCGTGTGCCTGGCGACACTCTCAATGGGGGGCATTGAACAAGATGTGGAACAATGATAACAGAGTTCTCGCTGTTTGGAGCTGGCTCGGACCTGGCTTATCGAAGAACAAAGAAAGCGATTACAGCTGTTCAAAACCCCACAAGGCTAGCCAACATTACTGACGATGGGCAAGCTGTGAGTACTCAGACTGTGTTTATTGAACACAATATTGATAAGATCTTGGAGAAGCTGATGGCTCCTCGATGGGAATTGAGAGACTTGATGACCAGTGATGGACATTTAGACCAACTGTGAAACTGGAATGCAGTTGTTCGTTCGAACCCAAACAACCATGTCCTTCATGCAGCTTTCCAAGGCCAAGACTGGCCAGAACAACAATTCTCCCTGATAAGAGGACTGTATTATGACTGTCTGCTCCTATCCCTTAAGGTCACCTATGTCAGGTGGAGGAATGTTGACTTTTGCTTGACCGGGAGAAAGGACTCTCGCTCTCAAGTTGAACACTCCCTCCCCCCTCCCAATGCCTCCGAACGCTTACTCCCACTCGAAGTAGACAGGCGGACCTGTCCAACACCGTACCAGGACCAGGCTGCTGTTCATATGGGCTAACTCTTGACTTTTTTCGTACCTCTCTGATCTTTCTTCCCAATGTTTTGCTTGTGTATTCTATGTATGGTCAGAAGGGGTGCTCATGATGGCGCCGGATCATCTGGCAGCCTGCGAAACAATTTCCCTCAGGATAAATAAAGTACTATCAATCAATCAATATAAATTCTAAATTGCTGAAGTTAGTTATCTGCAGTGCTGAAAGTACTTTAACTGGCATGGTCTCCAGGCCTAGGATCAGTTGGCTGGTCACATGACATGCAGACTAGGAGAGAGGAGTGCACATTGGTGTGATCAAACAAGTGAGGCAAAAAACTGAAGTGATACACACACACACACACACACACACACACACACACACACACACACACTCTAATACTCTAAAATATGATGGTGTTCAGTTAAACTCTTGTGTTTTTTTTAACCTTTTACGACTGTAAAACTATGTCACTAAATATCTAAACCCTAATTTCAAAGGGCAAAACTCGCTAAATTGAAATGTTTTTTTGTTGATAGTCATTTATGTTATGATTGTGTTTCACAATTGTATATGTATTTAGATCATTATGACTGTAAGCCAGACTCTTGTGGACCATTGGCCAAGTGTATGCCAGATGGAGGCTGCAATTGTGAGGATGGTTATGAAATCCCCCAAAACCACCTTCCTACTCCGGCTTCATTTGGTTGTGTTGGTAAGTACGTGAAATTAAAAATAAGTAACTATTCTATATTTCTTGTTTATTCTTATGAAAATAATGTATAAAACAAAGTACATCATCTTTTGATCCTGATGTCTTATGCCTAAAAAAATGATCTGGGCCTTACCAGGTTAAAAAAATCATTTGATCTTTCAAAAGGACAATGCAAAAACTGCTACTCATAAATCAGAGTCCCTTTATAGATAAAACTTTCTACCCTAAGTTGGGAAAAAAGGGTTAACATTTTAAATTATGAGGGAAAAAAAGAGAATATTACGTAATAAAGATTTATTCCTTTACTCATTCCTTTTAAGACTTTAAGTGGGATCACAGGTAGGAATATTTGAAATTCTCAAAAATGTGTGGAATGTGCTGGTCAGTTTACCAGCATGCCATGCGATGAAGCAAACTAACTTCTTTAGTAACAAAGTTGACAGTGTGAGATTGCATTTGCAAACAGCAAAGACTAATCTTTCTTGTAACATCATCCCCTGGATTAGGGTCAATAAAATATGTCCTATAGTATTTGGAAAGGTTAATGAGGATTCGGCTGAGGATATGTTGTCATATCCTTATCTTCATCTTTTATAGATGAGACATCCATAGGCATAGACTTGGATGGAAAACATATTTAAATCCTTGACTTTGCTGTTCTCCCAAACGTCCTTCAAACAGCCTTCAAATTGTTTGCAAATGGTCTTATAATTCAATGCTCACATGGGCAATGACAGTGAGACCTGGAAGGGTGTAATTGGGCAGAACCGCATGCCTGATCTAAACCTGAGTGGTGTTTTGTTATTGGACTTTTGTGCCTTCCACTGTTTGTCCATAACGAACACCATGTTAGAACATAAGGATGTCCATAAGTGCACATGACACCAAGACACCCCAGGTCACAGGTCGATGGTCGATTTTGTAATTGTATCATTGGATCTGCAGCCGTATGTTCTGAGCACTCGGATAAAGAGACCGAGCCTTTCAATGATCACCACCTGGTCTTGAGTTGGGTTAGATGGTCGAGGAGAATACTGGACAGACCTGGTACGCGTAAATGCATATTTAGGGTGCTCTGGGAAAGTCTGGGGGAGGCCACTATCAAAGAGATCTTCAACTCCCACCTCTGGCAGAACTTTCACAGCATTACCAGGACACTGTAGGTAAGGGGGGCCATCAAGCTGATCAAAGAGCTCTGGGTAGAGACCACAAAATTTAGAATGTGGATACAAGTGGCAGAAATGAGCCTTCTCCAAAGGATGGCTGGCCTCTCTCTTGGAGATAGGAACCATGCTGAATGATAATAATACAAAGATTTACACTAATGTTTGTTCTAAATAAACTTCACAAACAAACTAAAGTAACAATAAATAACTAAAAACAAAAGAAAATAAACTTCACTAAATGTCAATACTGTTAAAGTTTGCAGCTGGTTTGTTATTATTCTTTTTGTCAGATATTGATGAGTGCCAGAGGACTACAGGGATTTGTGGTCCTAACTCAAATTGTAAGAACACCGTCGGGTCATATATATGCACCTGTTTGAATGGTTTCAGTGTAGCAGATCCAACACTGCCACCTGGAACGTCCAATGGATGCACAGGTACCAATAAAAACACAAAATAACAAAATCTATTTTTAATGCAGATTTTAACTTGGTAACTGTGGTATGTTTAGATATTGATGAATGTCTTGCCAATATCTGCGGGCAATATGGGTCCTGCACCAATACAATTGGAAGCTATGTGTGCAACTGCAATGAAGGCTTTCACATTCAATCAGATGCAACCCCTGTTTGCCAAGGTCTGTATTATTATTTATGTCATGTGTTTGGTAGGAAAATCCTTTTGTGTGTTTGAGTGAATATAGCTTGTAGCATAAAGTTCTTTGAGTGATTAACATAATTAGAAAAGCATATTAAGTGTAATTTTCAGTACACAAAGAACATAAATTGAATTTGTTTACACTGACTGTCTTCTTTTCAGATAATGATGAGTGTCTAACCTCATCTATCTGTGGCCCTGATTCTATCTGCACAAACACACCTGGAGCTTATACCTGTGGGTGTATACCAGGTCACGCACCAACTGATCAATCCAAAGAACCCAGCATGACCAACATATGCACTGGTATTTACAACATATTTACAAAGGCACTAGCTGAAAACTGTAGATATAGGCAAAGAGACTGCAGTTTAATATGAAAAAATGCAGAATATATACAAAAGAAACAGGTTCAGTCTCACAACCTGCCGTAGTATTTTTTGACCTGCAGCTTGAATTTGATTAAATGTGTGTTACAGATATTGATGAGTGTGCTGACCATGTGTTGAACATCTGTGGAGCAAACTGTAACTGCACAAATTCAATTGGATCTTACAACTGTACCTGCCTTACTGGTTATCGAGTGGACAATCCACATGTTATAGCCAGCATTGCTAACCCATGCAATGGTATGTGCTATTCCTATGCTCTTTTGTTTCCAAAAGCAAATAAATATATAATTTCCAAAAAACAAACAAGCAAGAAAAACAGCCCCTTGTGTTTCTCTCACCGCTTTAGATATAGATGAGTGCAGTGAAACCCCTGGACTGTGTGGTAACCAAACTGTGTGTACTAATGCACCAGGCACCTTCTATTGTTCCTGCCCTGATGGATTCTACCCATCAACTGGTGTAATTTGGAAGGCGGGCATCACTTTTTGTAAAAGTGAGCAAAGCTGACTTCAAAGACATTTTAGATTTTCAAAAGTGTTTAGAATTTAAATGTATTTTTTTAATTTACTGACAGGCCTTGAAGACATTCTAGATGAAATCAAACCTAATAAGGTAAGACTCGTGGTGATTTATGTTTTAGAGGCTAACTGGCTAACTTTTTAATGCATAACAAAGTTCATTAATAACCCGTTATGTTTCATGATTTTGATTGTAAGTTAGTTCTTTGATAAAGATCACTTTTTCACAGTAATACATTCGACTGTAATTAGACAGTTATACAAAACATAAATCCCCGTTTTTTAAAGATGCAATCGTGTAGCAAACATAAACTAAACCCAAACGTTAATTTCAGGATAAGACAAAAGAGAGAGCTTTCCTTGAAAACTTGGGTGAAGACCTGAAGAACAATACAGGTGTCCTTTTACCGGATGTGGTACGTAGTTAAAAACGTTAACTTGTAAATGCTACACAACAAATAGGATGTAACGTGATGCACAGAAAACCCGGCAGTTATTTTTTATCTAACGCAATTTTCTCCGTTCTTGACATTTTTGCAGACAGTTGCAAACTGCTTTTCTACATCTATGGTACTAAAAAGCAGAGTCATAGCTTTATATTTCCAGTTTATTCATTTCATTTGCTTGTTTATTTGTTCATTACAATAACTCAAGTCTTCTGTAGATGGTTTCAGGTGTTGGAACACTTACCAGCACAAGCAGTGAAGGAGACGGGGAGACTGGTAGTGTTATTCTTGGCCTCTCAGAGCAGCTCGTTGTTGCAATGACTCCGTCGACTGAGACGAAAATAAAAAAGGAAGTGCACACTTCAACAGTGGGTAAGACCAAGCTCAACTTTACGCTAATAGGTCAAATTTGAGTTCTTAGTAAATACAAACATAATGAATGCATATCTGTGTTCAAGATTTGAGTCTAGTGGCCATTGGTTCATTGAGCTATGATAGCAAGAGTTCATCCCTCTCTGCCAAGGAATACGAAATGAAAATCAACTTGGAGGATCTAGCTAGGGCCAACAATGGTAAGAGCTTTTTTTAAAAATGTTGACTGACACAGGTGCATCAAGATGAATGTGGTTGTTGTTGTTGGGTTTTTTTGTGATGTGACCACTTCCAGGTTCTGTATCAGCCGCCTTTCTGACGCTAGATGGGATGGAGAGCATTCTCAGTCATCAATACTTCAAAACCAAGAATTTGACAGAGATGTACTCAGATGTTTTAACTGCCATAATACCAGGAATAAACACCACCAACCTGACAGAGCCTGTCAACTTTACAATTCAACACAAGGTGTAGCATCAAGATTGTACATATAGAGTGTTGTGAAAGTGTTTGCCCCCTTCCTGTTTTCCTGGATTTTTAGTATGTTTGTCACTTAAATGTTTCAGATCATCAAACAAATATAAATAATAGACAAAGATAATGCAAGTAAACTCAAAATGCAGTGTCTAAGTGTAGGTATTTGTCATTAAGGGAAAAAAAAGTAATTGCCCCCTAACCCTAATAACTGGCTGGGTCACCCTTAACAGCAACAACTGTAGTCAAGTGTTGCAATACGTGGCAATGAGTCTTTTACAGCTCCGTGGAGGAATTTTGGCCCACTCGTCTTTGCAGAATTGTTTTCATTCAGCCACATTGGAGGGTTTTTGATCGACAGCGTCTCAATCTGATTAAGGTCAGGAATTGGACTTGGCCACTCCAAAGTCTTAATTTAGTTTTTCTTAAGCTGGAGGTGGACTTGCTGATGTGTTTTGGATAATTTTGAATCATCATCAGCGTGCCTCAGAGTGAGGTCTTGAACAGATGGACGATATTCTCCTTCAGGATATTTTGGTAAACAGCAGAATTCATGGTTTTTCAGATCCTAAGGCACCACAACAACCCCAGATGTAATGGAACTCAAATCTCATTAGTACACAAAATATTTTCCAAAAAGTCTTCAAGATCATCAAAATGGGCTTTTGGCAAAGGTGAGATGGGCCTTTTGGTCAGAACTGTTTTATTTCTTGAACTCCTCTGTGGATGACATTTTTGCCGAGTCTCTTTCTTATTCTTGAAGCATGAACTCTGACCTTAACTGAGACATGAAGCTTGCAGTTCTTTAATGTTGTTCTGGGTTCTTTTGTGACGTCCTGGATGAGTTGTGAATGTGCTCTTGGAGTAATTTTGGTAGCCCAGTCACTCCAGGAGGAAGCCAGGAAGCTTTCCAGACTCATAGCTATCAGTGACTTTGTTTCTCCGTTGTTTCTTTAGATCGTGGTATGATGTCTTTCTCTCTTTGTCCAATATTAACATTTGTGTTTAATATGCAACACACCAGGAAATCAGGAAGGGGGCAAACACTTTTCACACCACTGCATGTATTGAAAAAGAATCAGACTTTTTATTCTTGCCTTTGCCTATTTTTTTTTTTTTTTTAGGAAGTACCAGATAATGGAATGGTCACTTGTGTGTACTGGGAAGCCGGAGAAGCAGAAGGTGGACAAAATGGAGAGACGATGCGTTGGTCAGAAGAGGGTTGCTGGGTTGCATACTCTCACAAAAACTACACTGTTTGTAGCTGCTCACACCTTTCTACCTTTGCTCTCATAATGCAGATTGGGGAGGTATGTCAGTTACATGTTGGTAAGGTTGAAGTCTTATTACTTACAGGACTTAACATACTTGTACATTTTTCAGATTTGATTAAAACTCCACAATTTGACAAATGGAAACATGTAGTGTATATAAGCGGTTAAATCCCTTTTTACATTTTAAGTGGAAGAAATTTTTTTTTGTAATCAGTGAAAATTTCTGTAGAACTTTAATTTGGTATTCTGTCAAACTGCTTTGTCAACAAGTATAGTACACTTTACATACCCAGTTTTAGACAGTTTATCCCACACTTCTTGGCATATGCAGAATTAGAAAGAGACACAACATTTCACTAGCAGGGACCACTCCCTTGGTAACGATGAGCAATGAGGGATGAAGGAGTGTGATTAGTGCTGCGGTTTGGGGAAGGCCTTGAAGGCCCCTGTACTAACGAGAAATAAAGGGAGGAAAGGAAGAGAGGAGAGGACAGGAGAAGAGAGGAAAGAAAAAAGGAAGGGGGGGGGGCATGAAAATGAGAACAGCAGGTATTGGAGAAGGGGGGCTTTTATAGCCTGAGGCCAGAGGGGGCGCTCCTGAAATTCAGATGATATCTCAACAAAAATTGCTCTTAAAAAATCTCCTGGATCTTAGACATTTGTCAGCTTTAAAGCATTTCAATAAGCCAATAAGTCAAGCACAGTTATAGCCAAATTTACATCCATTTTCATCAGTATCCATGTATCTCATTTTCAGCCTGTGCCACAGAATGACTTCTTAGAGTGGCTGAACCGGATATGTGTGATTATTGGACTATTCTTCTTGGCTTTGGCCATCTTTACCTTCCTTCTGTGCAGCTGGAATCCCAAAATTAACAACACAGCCCGTCTCCACCTCTGCCTCAACCTGTTTTTTTCACAACTGCTCTTGTTGTGGAATGACAAATACACTGATAATAAGGTACAATGTGGCTAAACTCCAAGAATTATCAAAAGATTATCTATTGTGTTCCAATTGTCCATAAAGCTTAAACATATTTATCTGTCTCTACAGCTGGCCTGCACTGTCATGGCAGGGCTTCTCCACTTCTTTATTGTTGCCAGTTTTGTGTGGATGTTGCTGGAGGCACTACAGCTCCACTTGTTGGTACGGAAGCTCTCCCAGGTGAAAGTCATTCAAAGAGATGGCCTCCCCAGGCCTCTTCTCTATCTGATTGGCTATGGTGTTCCATTTGTGATTGTGGGTGTTTCGGCACTGATGTATTCTGGTGGATATGGACGTACTGAGGCTAATGTGTAAGTCAGACACAGTGCAATGCACCGATTTATGCATTAAATCCTTTTATTACTAAATGTACAAGACTGGATAATGGTCTCTGATGTGCGTTTGAATTGCAGATGCTGGCTGTCAGAAAAACGAAACTTCAAATGGGCTTTAACAGGGCCAGTGATAGCGATCCTTGCTGTGTGTCTATTTTTGTGTTAGAACTGTATTACACATTACATTTTTTTCTTATAATGATAATTTGTCTCAAAGTTAAATTACAAATCTGATTATTTTATCAGATGAATTGCTACCTGTTTGGTGCAACTTTATGGAGTCTGCGGCCCACCTTGGCTAACATAAAAAGTGATATCTCTCAGTCCAAAGATACAAAGTAAGTTTGAGGTTTGTTTAAAAAGCAAGTTCAAATTCTGAGTAATCATTAAGATTTTTGTGCAGCTTTTAAAAAAAAATGTCACTCAGTAGAGACTCCAGACTAAGTGCGATTTCCATTCTGATTCTGATTATTTGCTAAATGACAACACAGATTTTTCCCTATTTCAACTACAACTGACATTATATAAAAAGAATAATCAACTTTTTTCAATGCAAAATATTATTTGCATAATAAAAAATAAATAAATAGATAAATAAACTTTTGCTCCAAACTCAGTAAGTTACAGGATTTTCTCTTTCAAGCATGCTAATAATTGAATAGAAATGAGCTGCTGTATACCTTTATATCAGACACTTGCATCATTTTCCCGTATACTTATGAATTCCCCGGATGAGAGGACATCAACCCTTTCCCCTTTTTTCTCACCTGTCTGTAATTTTCCTTTCACAGCTCTTGCCTGACTCTCTTACTTGTGGTTGGTTCTGAGCTCTGAATAGTTTAGCTTGACTCACTTTTCATTTGTTGGCTAATTTTTAAAAAGTACAGAGTTAAGTGTTTGATCAGGTTTGTCATAACAAACATTTTCTGTGGTCGTTTACTTTGGCGAACTTTGTGTCTTCACTCGTGGTGGGGAGTTTCCATGCTGACAACTTGTTGGCATGCGCCTGTGAGTGTGCGCACAACTATTTGCATGCGTTTCCATGTGCAAGTAAATCATTTTTTATTTGTGCACTGTGAGTGTGTAGAAGTAGTAGTTTGTAACAATTTGCTCATGAAATGTATGCGCAAGACGCCGACCAGCCAGTCCCCCTTCTGGACCAGAGAAGACTGGAAATCGGGAGATACCTTTCCCTTGCCAGACAATCAGTTCATCTCTAGAGACTAAACATGTCTTCCTGTTTGACTATAAGTGCAGTTACAGTAGAGAAATGAATTCATTTAGCATACTGACTTTTTTATTTAACATCCTGCTCCAATGTTTTGTAAAGAACTGTAAAAACCTTCTGTTGTTCTGTTTGCAGGTTGATTTTGTTCAAGATACTGGCCCAGTTTGTTATACTTGGCTGTACCTGGATTCTTGGCCTGTACCAGACGAACCTGTTCTTTCAGGTTGCTTTTATAGTTCTGAACTCCCAGCAGGGTACTTTTCTCTACATTGTCCACTGTGTCCTCAACAAGGAGGTAGACTCGTTATACCAGTGTTTCTTAACACTTTTCTTACATACTGTATGTCAAACTTTTTATAATTCATTCTTTATATTATTCCTGAGTTCAATTCTACCATCAGGCCGGGGTCTTTCTGTGTGGAGTTTGCATGTTCTCCCCCTGTTTGTGTGGGTTCTCTCCGGGTACTCCGGCTTCCTCCCACCATCCAAAGACATGCACTTAGTGGGAATAGGTTAATTGAGTAATCTAAATTGCCCATAGGTGTGAATGCGGGAGTGAATGTGAGTGTGAATGGTTGTCTGTCTCTTTGTGTTAGCCCTGCGACAGCCTGCGACCTGTCCAGGGTGTACCCCTGCCTCTGGCCCTACGACAGCTGGGATAGTCTCCAGCGCACCCCGCGACCCTGAAAAGGATAAGCGGAAGCGAATAGATGTATTCTTTATAAGAGAAAAAAAATTAAGTTAAAATGTAGTTAAATAAAAGCTAATCTCTGCCCCACTAGCAATGGCTCTGTGGCTTTATGGATCTATCTATAGGGAATGCACCACATTAAACACCTGTTTAATAATGACCAGCTCTGTGATTTAACATCATCTCTAGTTAAAACATATTGGTAGTATTTTTTATGAGTTTTATAGTGAGAGTTATTTCATTTATTTTTCAAAATGTGCATTTATTTCATATTCTAGATTAGAGATGAGTATGTCAAATGGCTGACCTGTTCTTTCAACAAGACCAGAGAAGGCGGCTCAGTGGTAAGTTTCGCATAGCAGTCACTTGACCAATAAGACTTTTTAAATTTAAAAGCTAACCTGTGTTGCAAATGTGACCGCATAAAGCGTTGCTTTGCTTGTAATAAATTTAAACCTTTTGTAACAATTTTTTTAGTTTTTCTAAAGTATCTGCACTACTTTTTGACAGAGAAATGCACCATCAGTGTCCGAGGACTTGGACATCCCTCAAGAGCACAGAGGGTGATGTTGATAAATAAGTGAAGGAAAAGATGGAAATGGAAGATTTATATACTTTTCTGCTGGCAACTGTTTACTTTCTTGTCAAATATTTGAATTTGTACTGTGAATCAACCTTATAAGTTCTTTCTGTCATGAAAAATTAGTGCATTTTATGTAATACTTGTTTAAACTTATTTAGAAAGTGTTTTAAACTACTACTTGCTGATTAAATGTCCCAAGTGTTTCTCCCAAATTTTCAACTTTACTTTGAAAAGGTTATGACCAGATATAGGTGCGCCCAAATCATACATCAGATCTTGGGTTTCACAACCAGTTATTAGGGCTAGAGGACAATAACTTTTTCCACACAGGGTCAGGACAGCATTTTTTCCTTAATAAATCTAGTTGTTAAGAAAACATTTGCTTACTTAAGTTTTAGTTTTGCTTATTTAAAGTTGCTTGATGACGATTGATCAGCAATTGACCAATGATTGATTCAGTGGTTGGAGTCAACTATTGTACAAGTGGCTTGTAATGCACAGTTTTACAAGACACAATAAACTGCTGTTAATGCTTTAAAGTGGTTGCTTGTGGGATTTACATACTGCTTAATTTGACTCAATAAAGTCACCTGACACCCAAAGTTCTGTTTTTTTGTCACTGTTTAAATGACTTTAAAGTAAATACATTATTTACTTTAATTTAGAATTTAGGAGGAAGAAAGTTGGTCACTAATTATCAATGTCTCATAATAAGGTTTACAAATGGGTGCCTTTTTGGCATGAGGAAAGGAAGGAGTCTTGCCCTTTTTACAGGCCTGAAATACAGCCCCCCTGAAGCACAGTATGGCTACATTTTTCATGCAGGTGCCATGATTACTGCAGCTTGATGAGAGCAGACAGTAGGGCACTGGTGGAGGGCAGCCTGAAGGAGGAGTAGTTGGTAATGTAAAGCAAATGCAGGCACTGATCGTGTACATATGAATTAGAATACACAAAACACTGAAACGGTTCGTTTCGAAGTAGGAGTGAGCTCTGATGCAGGTTTTGACTGAAAGCTTGAAATGTTTTTTTTTGTGTGAAAGGACAAATATTCAATAGATCAGAAATACGAGATGGCCTACAGAAAAAAAAGTAGGACAAGCAGGACAGCCCCTATTTTTTTAATTTCACAAATGAAATAGCTATTTGATCAATTTTGAAGTGTCCTTTAAAAGTCCTTAGTCTCTAAATTGATTTGGTCCAGATTTTACAGGATTCGTTTTGGGAATTTTAAGTATAACTGTGTTCATTGTCTTTGAGATCTGAGAAAGGAACTAAAGAAAAGAATAAATGCTTCACAAACCTGAAAACACTTTTTCACAAACGTGAAAAAGACAACATAAAAATCCCGCAGTCAACAGTGTATGTTTCTTTCCTAGGTCCTTAACATAGTCAACACAAGTTGGTGAATTTGCATTGGTTTTTGCATTCACATAATGCTTTTAAAAGCAATATTTGGGTGTTGTTCATGTTTTACAATGTGAACATTCAGAACAGATCTGGAGACTTGACTTGTCACTATGGACTGTGTCTTGTCACTTTTTCTGGGTAAGTGAATTTGACAGAGAAAATAATTTTAAAGGTATTAAATTGATGTCAGTGCTAATTTTAATGAGAAAACTAGATTATTAAGATGGAACAAATTTTTAGTTTAGATTCTGGATTCAAAGACACATATTTCTAATCAAATAATGGTAAATTATAAACAGTTACTATGACTTTAGGTAGCATTTCACAAAGATATGTGTAAATTTCAGTCAATGTTTACAATACTTTAATCGCAAAAGTTTTAGTTTTTGGTTTTAGCTGTTGAAAAATCACCTTTTAAAGCAATGAAAACTAGTTCATTCACCAGTATTTTTCCCTTTGGTAGGTTTGTTTATCATACCTGTCTCTTGTGATTTTCCTCCTGGTATGTAAGATTTTCTGCTACAGCAAATACTAAAAAACCCACAGCAAATCCTCCAAAAACATGTAAAATAACTACTATGATACCAATGCTTGCTTGTTATTTGCAGGTTCTTGTGATGGATACATTGAGATAAATGAACCATGGCGGAACCGAGCCTTTGCATCTACCCCTTTTACTGGTTATTCCCAAAATGATACCGATTTTCTTGGCAAATGGTTGCGCTTTACGGGGATCGGTGGAGACACAGTTATTACATCCTGTCTAACAGTCCAAACTGGTGCTACACTTGTCCCCATTTTTATACCATTTTCCTTACCAACTAATTTGTCTCTGTATCCGACAAATGGGACTGCAAAAGGGTGTAATGAAAAAAGTTTTTTAGTGAGTGTGGCCCTCTGTCCAGGAGAATTCTATGTGTATAAACCAGAGGATAAACTCCCAGCTCCCAACATGGTATATGTAACTTGTGAGTATAAACATTTTTTGTGTGTATAATTTTAATTTGAAGTTTTATTGGTTTAAAGAATTGTGTGAAATGTACATGATGTGTTTAAATTTGTATTTTAAAGGCAACATCTTACGAGCAAACGTTACTTACAAAATACACAAAATACGAAATAAAAGTTTCGAAACATCAATTCTCATTTGGACAATTAAGAAACATTTTCAAACTTTATGTAACGCCAGAACTGCCATTAGTGATATTTGATAGGCAAATAATGCAAAACGTCTTTATAATAATAATAATAATAATAATAATAATAATGATAATATAAGCCCAAAATGCATCTGAAAATGATGATGATGATTTAAATTACAAAAAAATGCTGTCAAAACCAGCATGGCCGTGTGTAAAAAAGCCAATGCCTCCTAAATGTAATAACTGGTTTTGCCCCCTTTGGCATCAAGAACCGCAAGTTTTAATTCAGCTACACTGTAGATGGTTTTCAGCTAAAACCTGTTTAGGTCACCAAAAGCATCTCAGTCTGATTCTGGACTTTGATTCACCCATTCCATTGGTTTTGGTATGTTTTGAGCCATTCAGAGGTGATTTTGGTGGTGTTTTTTGGATTATTGTCCTGCTGCAACTCCCGGACCACCACACTACCACCACTGTATTTGACTCAAACTAGGATCACATTTTCTGAATTCTGTGTTAGTTTTATGCTAGAATAAGCCTCAAACCTTACAAAACGTTCAACATTTGTCTCATCAGTCAACAGAATATTTCCTCAAAGACTTCGAGGGTTAATCAAAAATGTTTTTAACAAATGTAAGACGAACCTTTCTGTTTTGCTCAGTAGTGGTTTTCTCCTTGAAACTCTCACATTTTTGCTCAGTCTCTTTCTTATTGTTGGATCATGACTGGGACCTTAACTGAAATTAAGTGTGTAGTGCAGGTCTTTAGATGTTGTTGTGTTTTCACTTGTGAACCCCACGATGAGCTGTTGATGCTCTCTTGGAGTAATTTTGGCACCCTGGATTTTTCCAGGGAAGGTTTCTAGATAATGGCTGTCACTTAAGTTCCAAAGTCTTAGAAATGTCTTTGTAAACCTTTCCAGGCTGATACATGTCAATTACATTGTTTCTTAGCTGCATGATATGTAGCTTTTAGAGAGTTTTTAGCCTATTTCACTTTGTAAGACAAGTGATTTTATGGTTCAAGAGTTCTGGCAGTAATTGGATCCAGGCATAGCTAATGGAACTGAACTTAGCTTTTACAAAAGATCCGGTTAACTGTTAATACCTGTGAATTCATGACTTAATAAAGGGAGGAAATGCTTCAAATAGGGCCAGGAAGGTTTGGATTACTTTTTTTTCTCTTAATAAATTAACTGATTATTTCAGAATTTTATATTTTATTAATCTGTGTTAAAATAAGTTTTTACTTTTATTAACTTGTTTGATGCTCCAAAAAGATTTAAGCATTTTCAAAGACTTATTCAATTACTTATTATCTTTGTCTTGTGAGTGTATGCCTTGTGTTGATGAATTTCTTCACTCACAAAAAATATTTTGTGATGGATACAACCTAAAAGAGTCTGGGAGTAAACTACATTGACAAAGTAATAGGCATCTTTCCACTGAGATGCAGTTACACAATATTTTTTAAGCAAATATAATACTGAAATAACAATAAAAAAAAAAACAAGTTACACAGAATAGAACAGAAAAATCAAATATTAGATTAAAACAGACGTATTCTTTGATGTAGGTGTTTGTATTGGTGCTGTATGGGAAAAAACATCATTTGCATTCTTAAAAAGATGGCTACACTAAACTTCATTTGATTAGGCCGCAGTATTTTGAAAACTAGTAAAGATGTGAAACAACTTGCCAGCTATGAACTGTTTTGTGCTTCGCACAAGCAAGTAACATGTCTGTTACAATATCATACTCATTCATTTTTATGAGCAATGCATGCTGCATTCATGATTTTTTTCTTAATATAAATAATATATATAATATTATTATTTATCCTAATATATAAAATAAAAAATATATTATTTATTGGGAATATTATGTTATTCATAATATTGAACATGTACCATGATTTTATATCTATTTAGATCATAGTATGTGTACTGAAAAGTCTTGTGGACCATTGGGTAATTGCACAGCAGGTGGGGGATGCATTTGCAATGATGGATATGAAATGCCTCCAGACAACCCGCCTACTTCAAAATCATATGGCTGTATTGGTAAGAAATTATAGTACATTAAAAACAAGATGTTATTTTCAAAACAGCAATATTTATATATATTTTTTATATTACGATCAATATGAAAATACATAATTTTCAAGATCGTTACAGGAATCTAGACCTATAATGTTTACACCAGTAATTGTAAAAGCTGTTATTTATAAACAGACACTCAGAAGCAAGTGCATCATCTGGACTAATATGTTTTTAAAGTTTGCAATTTGCTAATTGTATATCATCTTACCAGATATCGATGAGTGCACAAGGACTAAAGGAATTTGTGGTCATAATACCAACTGTTACAATACAGTTGGGTCATACAGTTGTAACTGTTGGGAAGGATTTCATCTACCAAAGCCAATACCAAAACTTAAACTGACCCCTGGCTGTGAAGGTACAAATCAAACAAACAAACACAGAAATAATCCTGTTTAGTTTGTTTTATATTCACTTTTTAATTGTTCTTTGTGTAGATATTGATGAATGTCTTAGTGGTGTCTGTGGGCCATACGGGACCTGCTACAACACCATAGGAAGTTTTGTGTGCAACTGCTCTAAAGGATTTAGGGCTGATTATAAGATGTCCCCTATTTGCCAAGGTCTGTATTGCACGTTACAATATTCTATCAAGTGAACTTCATTGGACTGTTCATATTACTGTTAATTACTGAGTGTGACAACAGAATATTTGTATGCATAATATATTAAGAGTTGTATGAGTTTCTGTGAAAGGGTGGTTTGTACTTTTACAACTTTAAAATGCAGTGTGATAAGAACTAGCTGTAACTTTCTAACTTCAGATGTTGATGAGTGTTACAACTCAACGATATGTGGTCCATATTCTATCTGCGAAAACCTGCCTGGAAATTACTCCTGTAGCTGTAAGGTGGGTTTTGAACCAATGGATAAAACTAAGCAACCCAATGAGACCAACGTCTGTATTGGTATGTGAAAATTGATTTATTTATATTTGAAGTCACTTGTGTTTGCTCTCTCTCTCTGTCTCTGTGTCTCCCTGCTATTTCAAAAGTATTTATGTGACCACTACAATGTCACAAGATTGTTATACTGAGTAAAGAAAGGCCTAGGCTGACAAAATACATTAAATCACAGGGTCATTGCTGTTTTAGTGTCAGAAGGATGAATTAATGATGAATTATCAAAGTGTTCAATGAAGCACTGGCAATGTCATGGCTTGGCTAAAATCATACAGACTTTTTTTTTTAAAAAAAAAAGGAAAGACGGAACACATTGTCACAAAATGTGGAAACTATGCAAAGATTAAATTTAATCTATTATAAATAAAACATGAAAACATACTATCCAGATTTGGCATTGCTAGCACAATTTAACTGCACAACCTGTCCTTGTTAGATTTGAAACTAACAGAATAGCCTCTTTTCCATTATTACCTAATCGGACAGACTAGCCAAGATTCCTCCAAATATGCGTTTATTGTTGTCATAGAAACATGTCCAGGCATCCGCTGATGTAATTTTTGTTTCTCAGAAAAGAATATATGGCTTCTTTTGTTGATAACATATATTTTTTTAATTCATGTACTTCAACAGATATTAATGAGTGTATCCTACCAGTGTGTAGTACATGTATAGACATCTGCGGACCAGATTGTAACTGCTCAAATTCAATTGGATCTTACTTGTGCACCTGTATCCCTGGTTATCGGATTAACAACCCAGACTTTATAGCCAGCTATGATAACCCATGCAGAGGTTTGTGCTCTTGTTTGGTGTTTTGACATATAGCAGCTCAAATATGATTAAATGCAGCAGTTTGATCAAATGATCAATTAAAAACAGATTGCCTTGCATGTGTGTGTGTGTGTGTGTGTGTGCTCTCTATACTGCAGATATTGACGAATGCACTGAGACACCCGGTATATGTGGTAAAATGACTGTGTGCACTAATGTACCGGGTACCTTTTACTGTTCCTGCCCCGATGGATTGTTCCCCACAACTGGAATTGTTGCCTGGATATTGAATGTCACATATTGTCAAAGTGAGTCAGTTTCAACCATAATTTTGAATTGTTTTAAGGTTATTTATTTGGTTTGAGGGAGCATTTGATGTTCACATTTTTAATTTACTGACAGGCGTTGAAGATGCTCTAAATAAAGTTCCAGTCAAAGAGGTGAGACCCATCGAAATATTTACCTTTTAAAGGTGCCTTATTTTTTTGTCACCAATGCATAACAATGTTTAAACCAATGTTTAGCTCCATTCAAATAAAGCAACAGGAAATTAAACCATGACAATTACCAGACAGTGCTTTGTAATAAATGAATACTAATACTGCACATTCAATGCAGGGTCTGACAAAAGAAATATCGTTCATCAGCAATATGCAAGATGACCTGAAAAACAATACAGGTGCCTTCATACCAGAAGCGGTATGTAGTTCAAAAGTAATGCTTGTAAGCCAGAGTGTGCTTTGTTATATATTCAGATATTTGTAACTAAAAATAATATGTTATGTGATGTACTGAGTAAACCACAGTACATTTTATCTAACGCCTTTCTCTCTTTTCTTCATAATGTGTTTGCAGACGGTAGCCAACAGCTTTGCTGCATCTATGGTACTTAATGTCCAGCCAAAGAAAACATACCATATTCCATGTCTGTATTTACATTTATGTGTTTCACTGATTAAAATGATTTACATTTTTGCAGGCCGTGTCCGGTGTTGGACCACGAGCCACACAAAGCAAGGTGAGTAGTGAAGGAGATCGGGAGACGGGCAACGCAATTCTTGACCTTTCAGAGTATATCGTTGTTGCAATGACTCCACATACCGAAAACCAAACCAAAAAGGAAGTGCACTCTTCGACAGTGGGTAAGTTAAATTCTAATATTTTGTAGCTTGACTATATTTAAAATTACTGTTGGTATGAATTGACTGATTGTTATCTATTTGTAAGATCTGAGCCTGCTGGCCATTGGTCCAGGGAGTAAGGATAACTGGAATACCTCCCTCTCTGCTAATGGAAATACCATGGACTTCAACTTGCAGGCTATAGCTCGTGCTAACAATGGTGAGAGAGTATTTTAAAAATTAAATATATTGACAAATCCAAACTGTTTTTATTTAACAAATGGTTTTCAATTTCTTTTGTGATGCGAAAACTCCCAGGATCTGCAACAGCTGCTTTTATGACACTGAATGGGATGGAGAGTCTTCTCAGTCATCAGTATTTCCAAACAGAGAAAAAGACAGATATGTGTTCGGATGTTATCACAGCCATAATACCAGTTAATAACACTAACCTCACAGAGCCTGTCAACTTTACTATCTACCATAGGAAGGTACAGCTGCAGAATCTCAACTCTACATCTATTAATGCAGAGGGATACAGACTTTTAATGTTTCTTCTTTGCTTTTTCAGGAAGTACCAGAAACAGGAACAGTCAGTTGTGTTTACTGGAAAACCACAGAAACTGTAGAAGGAAAGTCTATGAGCTGGTCAGAGGAAGGCTGCTGGGTTGCATTCTCTAATGAAAACTATACAATCTGCAGCTGTTCTCACCTTTCTACATTCGCCCTGATCATGCAGATTGGGGAGGTATATATTTTTTTCTTCTTCTTTTTTGATGAACTTATTATTAATTTGATTTTGAGTGGTGGATGCACAGACTTTGTCTTTTCTTCACTTCATTGTGTTGTAGAAGTAATTTAATTTGATAAAATAACTCTTTTTTTCTATTAGCAAACACTGAGTGACTCAGAATGGCAATACGTAGGGAAAAATTCTTGTAAACCCAAAAACTGTTATAAAAATTTTAGAAATTGAATACGGTACTTTGTGGAAACTCCCTTGGCCACAAACAATCTCCTTAGCTAGTGTATAAAAACTTGGTACAGGTTGATTTAGCCAGTTTATAACATTCTTTCCAGAAGTAATTGTGGTCTAGTAAATCTGTGTGTCTGGGAGCTAAAGGGTTGTCAGCGGTTTGTCCCAAAGCCAACTGTGAAGGGACCTGAATAGTTACTTGCATACTAAGAAAAATATGCAGTAAGGTCATTTTAATCACAATCTTCATATGTCTCATTTTCAGCCTACACCATCAAATCCTTTTTTAGAGTGGCTGAACCGGGTATGTGTGATTATTGGACTATTCTTCTTGGCTTTGGCCATCTTTACCTTCCTTCTGTGCAGCTGGAATCCCAAAATTAACAACACAGCCCGTCTCCACCTCTGCCTCAACCTGTTTTTTTCACAACTGCTCTTGTTGTGGAATGACAAATACACTGATAATAAGGTACAATGTGGCTAAACTCCAAGAATTATCAAAAGATTATCTATTGTGTTCCAATTGTCCATAAAGCTTAAATGTATTTATCTGTCTCTACAGCTGGCCTGCACTGTCATGGCAGGGCTTCTCCACTTCTTAATTGTTGCCAGTTTTGTGTGGATGTTGCTGGAGGCACTACAGCTCCACTTGTTAGTACGGAAGCTCTCCCAGGTGCAAGTCATCCGACGAGATGGCCTCCCCAGGCCAATTCTCTACCTTGTTGGCTATGGTATTCCATTTGTAATAGTGGGTGTTTCTGCACTAATTTACTCTGATGGATATGGTGTTACCTCCTCAAATGTGTGCGTAACACATAATTATTTTCACATTTTCCCATGTGATCAATGTTTTTCTAGAACAGGTTTGCTTGATTGATTATTTATTTACTTGTTTACATGATTCTTTTGCAGATGCTTTCTCTCTACAAAGCGGAATTTCAACTGGGCTTTAACGGGACCTATTATTGCTATCCTAGCAGTGAGTACATTGAGTATTTGCAGCTGCGTATTGAGTGTTTAACATCCTCATGTGTATATGTATAACTACATGACTGTAGTTAGCTGTCATGTTAGGCCTTGGACATTTAACTTCTGTTGGACAAATGGTTTGTATTTGGCCCATGAAATGTAGGATTGGGTATAGGATTATATTTAAAGCACTGCCGTGCCAAATTGGATTGACAACTTATTGTAATGGAACTGAAGCAATAATCTATAATTAAAAGTCTGTGTTATCTAGTCTGTGGCAGGCTTCTTTTTACTTTGTACACCTAGCAAATATTGCTGTTTGTTTATTTTTCAAAGATCAACTGGTTATTGTTCCTTGCTACTCTCTGGAGTCTGAGACCCACTTTGGCCAACATGAAGAGTGATGTTTCTCAATCCAAAGACACCAGGTTTGAACATTCATGTACTGTTTTCACTGAGGTGACAATGAAAGTGGCACCTGCATGTAAGTGCTAATGCACAATTTGTGACTTACGTACATGTCTTTATAGTGGAACTCATTGTAATGTTAAGGTGAAGGATGGCTTTGGATAAATGAGCTGAAATAAGATGAAACACAGAAAATAAGGACATGTTTTCTGTGTATGAATGTAAACACAAATAATGGTAAAAAAATATATTGTGCTCTTTGTTTTTCAGGTTGATTATTTTCAAAATCGTGGCACAGTTTGTCATACTGGGCTGTACATGGATTCTGGGCCTGTACCAGTCAAACCTTTTCTTCCAGGTCCTCTTCATCATCCTCAACTCCCAGCAGGGCACATTCCTGTACATCGTACACTGTCTGCTAAACAAGGAGGTAGACCTTATCTTGAGCTATGCTCTTATTACATTTTGCTCTTTCACAACCTCTCATTTAAATGTTCACACTAGGCCAATAGTAACACAATGAAGGGAGCATAAAGTAAGTTTGTGGTTATTCGCTAAAAAAAAATGATCTGCTGGTTTCTCCTTTACTGTGTTTTACAAATTTTAAGAAGTACAATGTTCACAGTGTAACAATGATTATGGTTGTAAAGCTTTACATGGACTCTTCAGTATGGAGCTATTATACTGTACTGAAACTGTCTTTACCAGGTGCGAGAGGAATACATTAAATGGCTGACATGCTCTATTGGAAAAGAGGCAGCTGAGGTAAGTCTTGTGAAAAACATCGAGTCCTGTCACTTTTAATCTCAGTCAGATCAGCTCTTAGCCCAGCTGTTTCTAACAAATGAATGTATTTCAGGAAAAAGATCTGGGTTCGGTCACCGAAGATTTCGATAAGCCTGAGAACCAAAACAATGAAGGGAAGAAGGACCACTGATCCAATGAAGTGAGCAACGCTAAAACAGACAACGCTATATGTATCGAGTTATTATCCGTGCTTTTTCTTAATTCCATTTTATTGTGTCTAGAAAGTTAACGGTAGCATAGCATATTAGCTTATTAGCTTAGCATATTGATCTGTATCATTGTGTCTTTTAGGGCCCTAGCTTGCTATTTTAACTGCTAAAGAAAAATATATTTTAACTAGAAAGTGCATTTTCTGAAGAAACTGCAGTGTGAATGCTTGAATCTGAATGTATGCACTGAAATGAATTAATTACTGAATTTAAGTTAAAAATCTTGAATGAGATAAAAAAAAAACCCGAATTTAACCTGAAAACAAAAGTGCTGAACTGCTAAAAGCTGAAGGTTACACAGAAGAAGAAGTTGGAAAAAAACCTGAAAATGTTTTAAATGTAAATTAGAAAAACCTAAGAAATGAGAAAAGAACATTTAGAGTCAGAAAACATCTGAAAGAATATTAAAAGGTCATATTCTTTGAATCACTGAATGACTAAAATGTGATCCCTCCACTTGGACCCACACAGTTTAAAAAGTTTAAATGCCTGAGCTTTGAAAGATACGGTGTTGGAAAGAGAACAATAATGGCGACAATTTGAGGGTAAAATGATGGCTGTAACACTGTGGACACAGCAGCAGTTGAAAGAGAAGTGCTAAAGATGAATCTTGGTACAGTGGCAGGCAGAGCTCGTTAAGCAGGCAGGTGTGAGCCTGGTTGCTATAGTGACCGCACCCAATGGCTCCATACACACGTACACAGACATGCGCCTCACTTTTGCTGCTTAAAATGAACAGAAAAGTCAGGCCGAAACAAATCGCTCCCAAATGAAAAGTATAGGTCGTATTGACGAAATTCTTTCACCGTGAGCGGCAGCAATGTCTAGTCTACCTAATTCTCAGTTTTCATGCCTGTGGAGTTTATTATATGGACGTGGTGACAGTGTAAAAACACCATGCTCTTCTGATTTTCAAACCAACCTTCTGAGCCGTTTTAACATTAGAGTCTATGGAAGAGTTGGAGGGAGGAGGCTGTGCATTGGTGACATTTATGAAAGAACCATAACACCTAGTACAATAGTAAACACATTGGATGAAAGAGGACAGCCATGGCTACGTTTTGAGGGTAAAATCATACCTGTAGAGCAAACGCTGTGGACACAGCAGCAGTTTTAAAAAAGATTTTAAGATTAATTTTTTTGCTCCTCTCACTCTAGCAGTTGAGCTGCCTCACTCTAGCCCCAACATTCCGTCCCATACACACCCATTATAAACTCTGAAACGGGTGAAAAAACATCATGAAACTTAAACTGGAACTGAAGAAAAAGTATAATAGATATTGAAAAGATAAATACAAGTTGAATAGTTGAATGTCTTGTCTTCGTTTTAAAGTTTGAATGGTGGCTCTATGGGAACGTATGTTGAAGTAGTAAGAGTTTAAAAATGAGTAAGTTGAATGAGAATTTGAAGGGTCTCCCCATTGAAATACATGGGAAATTTTTGTTGAATAAAGTTGAATAAAATTAAAAATATAAATGTTAAAAATGAGAAAAATACAAGCAATCATGTCCAAAAGAATAGGAATCTAACGGTGTTTGAATGGTTTTTCTAAGTTGAATGGTTTTGAAGGAGTAGGCTTTCAAAAAACGTACGGAATAGATAATAATAAAATAGAATAATAATAAAGATTCGAATAACAATACTGTGAATGCTTTTCAAGCATTCACACTAATTAAACCTGAATGCAGTGACTGCTAAAGTAATGCTCTTTCACAAGCAATTATTTCTAGGTGTGTTTAAGTTTTATTAGTTGTATGTTACTGTACTAGCTGTGCTATATTACAACAGTACATGTCATGTTAACACCATCAGTTAGGCCTGTTATTATTATTATGCTGTATAAATTTGAAATGTAGCTAATGTAGCTAACGTAGCTAACGTAGCGGTAGAATACCATAAGTCTGACAGCCATACTGATTTTCTCACTCACTGACTAAACAGACCATCTCTGTACCTAATTTGCTTGGGTCTGGGAGCTTTCGCAAACATCTTGCTACTCACACCCTCAGAGAGTCAGGCTTGAAAAAACAAAACCTCCTACAAATAAAAACATGTGCTTCTCAGTTTATTCTTTCTTGTGTTATTTGCATTTTATTTACGTGGCATATGAGACACTTTGACGTAGCTTAAACTTTACAAGACAAATTCGAGGGCTGTACAAAGCCAAGCATACTTTGTGATTTACATCAGCATTTAGCTTGCACACTATTTCAGAAAAAATCCCTTACAGGACAGAAACAAACTATTAAACTTGAATTAAGAAATTTAAAAAAAAAGAAATAAAAGGAGTGCAGGGATAAATCGTGTTTAATATGGTTTGCTGTAATGTCTGTCATTTATCAGAACATGCATGTAACCCTGAAAGAAAGTAACTTTTACTACCCTTCAGTTTCCTTAGGATAGATAAGGTATCACATCCTTGGTTCATCATTAGTGCTTCCTTTCTTTAGGGAGAATAACCATTAATTTGTAACATTAGGGCCATGTTACCCAGATCGTCAGTTATTTATTTGGGATTCACATTTATTGTAGATGATTGCATTTGTTGCTGTTTGCCTCTTATCATAATTGGGAAAAAATAAAGTGCTGATGATATTCCTTGCATTGGAGATTTACAACAACATACCTTACTTTTTGTGGTAAATTACAACACTCAGGATTCACTCTTGGATAATTTGGGTTCCCAGGAAATCTAATATCTGATTATACCTGCACTTGTAGACTAAAACTTTTACAGTACACAGATATCATCAAGTTTACTGTAATGCATATGCAATACAAATGTCTTCCTGAAGGCTGCAGTGTTCAACCACATTATGAGATTGCAGCTTTTGTGCTTCCTGACTCCGACCAAGAAGACATTGTTTAATTTAAATCATATGTGTAACATGAAATCCAACATTTCATTCTGAAGCATCTAATTAAAATGGTATAAAAATTAAATGATGATATGTCTAGGAGTCCATGTTAAATGATAATGATATTATTAATATAAATAAAGATAAAGCAGAAAAAAAACAAGTATCTGTGCCATTCTGACACCATCTGTTAGTCAAAGCAAAGTAGTGGTGATGATATTTTGAAAGTCTACCTTACATAGCTTAATTCTCTTAAATAAAGTAATGGCTGCTAACTAACCCTATACTAACCATAAACAGATTGGTGGTGTTTGATATGAAGGGGTTAACAGTTAATAACACTGCTGCTACCAGTGTTTTCTGTAAAGTCTTCAATGGACTGTATCAGTTACTGAAAGCTACATACTGAGCATGTGACACACTGAGTGATGCAGTTTTGTCAACTGCCACTAGATGTTACCATCTGTTACCAAGTTACTATCTATCTGTTTGTGTGTGTGCACGTGCAGATATGTTTGCTGGTATTGAGTATTAACCTGCATTGTACTAATACTAGAAAATAAACAGTGCAGTAGTAGGGAAACGGAAGGTGAGATGTGCTAGCTGTAGGTGAGCTAGGTGCTAGCTCACCTACAGCTTTCAGGCCTTTTGTGTATGATTTATCAATTTAAACTATCCACATATATTACACAGACATACAAGGTGGTTGAATGAGCATCATATTTGGGGCACAACGTAAATATACGTAGAGAAAAAAATATTTATTTTGCCTGCTGATATTCAAAATTGTTGGCGTGATGTTGTTTGCATGCTCGTTTGACTATATCATTGAAAATTTATGCATTCAAATGCCTGTTTCTGATTCCTGTTTAATGATGCATAGTGTCAGTCAGGATCAGCTGGAACTCTGCGTTCTGTCTGCTTGACTGCTGATTGGATCCCATTTGAATCTAGTGATGCTGCCCTCATCTCTGTCCAGGCACGAGGCCACTGATGACACGGCCTGCATTCACACTCTAAACCCCTCTTCCCTCTGCATAAACATTTCTATGTGATAAACACTGAATTAATGTAATATTAAATATGACAGTTTTTCCACAAGCCTGCAGCACAACTGAGAAATACAAATAGGGTTTTTTTTCTCTTTATGTTACTAAAAATATTGCAGCTCAGAGATCATCCTAGGAGAATTCAGATTCAATCACTGCGAATTATATCAAAATGGCAGACTACTATGCTTTACAAGGTTTTAAGACAATATAACTGTCATAAATGTAAGATAAGTTAGTTCCACATTTTGCAAATGCACCAAACTGCTTAAATATCTATTACTGTGACATTAGACAGGTGTTCCAATTTTAATTTTTTCTAAATTTCTGTAGCATCTAAAACTCAGTATGTCATGTTTCCTGCAGTTTTTAGACGTTCATTCCAAAAGCTTTTATTTTACGCTCCAGCTTCAGCTGGAACTCACTAACTCAGTTACTGCAAATGCTTATTAACAAATTAGTAGAAGCCTGTTTGTTTATTTATTAATTTTTTTTATGCCGCAAACGACAATCCTGCATCATGTTTAACACACAGCTGGAATAACTGACAAAATAGGGATAAATATAACAAGATATGGTTCCCAGGGTTTGCTTCATTCTCTCTCTTTCCCTGCTTCTCTTCCACTCTCTTTGCTGCTCTTCTCAATACTATACATGGTTACCATGGAAACACACTTGCAGCTCTCGAGTCGTGAGGCCAGTCAGCTGAGATACCACGTCTGGTAAACAAATCCGCAATCTGAACTGCTGGGTGTGTGTCAGAGTTTGTCAAAACATGAAGGCATCAGCCAAAGGTCATAAGTGCCAGAAAGGTGGCCGGAGCAGGGGTTCAAACTGAGACAGCTAATGTGACAGTGCTAAACTTTTCCTACTGCATGTTTTATTTAACAGACATTTGAATGGCATGTAATCCTCTTTAATCCACTATAATAGGAACATGACTGAGAGAGACACGGATTTCTAAGTGCAGCTAAAGCTCTATGTTATTTTTTTTCATTACTAAACTAATACAAATGCAAAACAAAGTAGACCCCCAAACAACAAACACATGAATTAGACAAGGAAATGTAAAATGTGAAAGAGCACATTCACAAGTGTATAAACTCTCATTCTGCCAACATATTACATGGACTATAACTGAGTTTCCTGGGTACTCTAAAAAAAAGCATTTAATAGCAGAATAATATCTATAACAAGGTTTATTTC